TGGAGGTATGACGACACAGGTTGTGGTTTGGTGTGTTTGGTGGCCCGCGTGGGTCGTGGGTGGGATGTTGCTTTGGGGGAAGCCCAGAGCGGAGGAAGAGATGGAGAGTTTGGATAAGGTTGCGAATGGGGTAGGAGGAAAAGTGGAAGTAGCCAATGGAGCGGAAAAGAATTAAGGTGGCTTGTTGATTGCACAATTTCTAGATAGAATGGATGCAGCCACGCATAACCATCAGTAAACATACAATTATAAAAACAGAAGGGTATTGTTCTCATATATCATTTCATTCTTTCGCAATGCAAATACAACTAACCCCAGGCATGCATGCAAGAGAGGGAATATCTATTTTACAGTCCGATGTGAAGCCTAAGACGCCATTCTTGCCTTTTCATTCACGATTATGATGCTGAGCCTCATGCTGCCCACACGTCCTGACCCTTCGACTCGATCCAGTTGCCCAGTGAGTTGACACTGGAATCCCATTCTTCTAGTCGTGTACGCATACCCTCGATTTGACCCATATCCAACACCTTGGGCTGTACCCAGTTGATACGTGCGATTTCATCAACTTGATCGATGCTTCCTCGCAACAACCCTAAACTCAAGGCCTTCATAATTAGATGCTCAATTTCGTCCGGGCGAACTTTAGTCTCCTCGGAGATTGTACGGAAGGTCATGGCACGGTCATGAGGAGGGCGGCGGAAAACGGCTTCGGTGAGGGCGGCGAGGTAAATCTTTTGTTTGAGTCCGTCGCGGTGTTGTGCGAGTAGGGGGTTAGAGGAGATGTGACCGGAGAGAACATCGTAGGCAGCGAGATCACCACGGTTGAAAGCGAAAAGAAGATCTCGGAGCCAGGCGTCGTCTTTAACGAGGGTATCGAGGATGGGGTGGAGGAGGAGTTCACCAAAGTTATAGATGGTATCGGATACAAGAGCTGCGATGCTCAGATCGTAGGCTCGGCTTTTGCGCTCAGAGGGGGTGAGGTCGTTGAGGTCGATACAAGCTAGATATAGCAGGGCGTTTTTGTAATATGATGCGAACTCCAATTTGGATTGATAGTACTCTGCATTAACCCGGTAGAATGCAGCATGTACGATCGTCTCCACAGAGTCGAACCCATCTAATATCTTCTCCGATTTATCCAAATCTTTTCTGGCCCCATCCTGATCTTGTAATTCTAATTTGACGGTGGCTACAGCCACTGTTGCGTAGACGTATGCATCTTGGGAATTGGGATTATCGACTTTCTTTGCTACTGCCTCTAGGAAGGACAGGCGCTCTGAACCATCTAGTAATGAGTTAGCAGTTGCTTTAGTCTCTTCAATAGTATTTTATTACCTTTACACTGTGAAGCAGCGCTTAAAGCAAGAGTAACAAGCTTCAACTGATTGATCTTATCGGCGAATGTGAGGATGAATGTCTTATATATTGGTAATCGTTGGGAAGCGCTTTCTTTGTGATTGAAAAACTCAACAAGGGTATCTGTCAGTTGATGCCACAGCTTCTTCTCCCAGAGATCTTCGAAGGATAAGAAAAGGTGTTGAAGGTCTGCTGGCGCAGCATCACGTTGCTCTCCGAGAAAGTCGGGAATTGTGTCGACATTCATGATGATTGAATGAGGTGGATTGAATTATAATTGGTTTTGTCCGGATGCCCTGTATCCACTTGCACGCCGTTCAAAATCAATAAAAGTCGGATTCTTTGGGTATCTTGTTGTGTTTGTAAATGTTAGAAATTGAAGCTGTTTGGTTGGGGTTTTGATATTAAGGCGAGGCAACGAGAGAGCTGCGCAAGGTCGGGCCTAACCAGATTTAGACTAGTATACTCCACGGCTGGACTCCCGCGAGGTCAATCTACAACTTCAACATCAAGTCAAATTGAACCCTGCCAACTGCCTTTGCGTCTGCGATTCAATTGATTTGTACCCCAGTCGCAAAAATGCAGAAATCCTGCAGTCCATCGACTCTTAACAGTCTGCGGACTGCTGTACGATCGAAAAGAGGAATTAAAAATGTACCTTTGAGCAGGAAGTTATCTGATGTCACTATCACAAGGACCGGAAAGCCCATTATTCGCACCCAGGGTGGCAGGTAAGCACTCTGAGATTGATTCTGCACTTCTACAGACCTTCTTGCTAATGTGTTGTAACACAGATCATCTCTCGGAGGTATATCTGCTCCCAAAATTGCAAATCCACCATCAACATAAGCCTAATTTGATACTATAGGGCATACCGCAACCGTTTTCGGTGCGACTGGTTTCCTCGGACGTTATATTGTGAATAGACTCGGTACGCGAATCTTTGTTTATAATGCAAGGAACTTGGGCTGATGTGAGAGTGGTTTAGCAAGACAAGGATGTACAGTTATTGTCCCTTTCCGGGAGGAAATGGCCAAACGACATTTGAAGGTTTCCGGTGATTTGGGTAGAGTCATTTTCATGGTATGGCAGAAAACCTGTGGACAGTATTTGGGTCACCTTGACTTACTTCGGGTAGGAATACGATTTGAGAAACACACAATCTTTGGAGGAGAGTGTTAGGCACTCTGATGTTGTCTACAATCTGTTGGACGCAAACTATCCCACTAAGTATGTTCCAAAGATCATCTAGAGAGAATACTCATTAGCATCAGGAACTTCGATCTCGAGGATGTACATGTTGAAGGAGCGGAGCGAATTGCCGATGCTGTTGCCAAATACGACGTGGATAGATTTATCCATGTCTCTTCCTACAACGCAGACCCTAATTCGCCCTCTGAGTTCTACAGAACTAAGGTATATAACCCAGCTCTTTCGAACATCGGTTCATATGATTGACAAGCATCTTTATTAGGCAAGAGGTGAGGAAGTTGTACGCAGTATATTCCCCGAAACTACAATTGTGAGGCCTGCTCCATTGTTTGGGTTTGAGGATCGTCTTCTCCACAAGCTTGCTGGATTTACCAACGTCCTCACATCCAACCACATGCAAGAGCGCTACTGGCCAGTTCACGTATGTTTTAAATTCTTCAATTGCATGACTTTCTATTGACGATCTCTTCTAGGCACCCGACGTAGGCCAAGCACTTGAAAAAATGCTTCAAGATGATAGTACTGCATCGCAAACATATGAACTTTATGGCCCAAGAATTATTCAAACAGCAGAAATTGCTGCTTTGGTAGATAAAGAAATCAATAACCATCGTCGACACATCAATTTACCAAAGAAAATCCTTAAGCCAGTCGCTGGTGTTTTGAACAAAGCTCTCTGGTGGCCTGTCATCTCTGCTGATGAGATTGAGCGAGAATTCATTGATCAAAAGATCGATCCTTCTGCAAAAACATTCCAAGACCTTGGAATCGAGCCAGCAGAGCTCAGTAGTCTCACCTTCCATTACCTGGTATGCATAATCTTCTACCAAAGTTTCGAGCCAGCGATGCTAATTTTAAATAGTTGGGATATCGAAGTGCAGCATTCTACGACCTACCACCATCAACAGAACGCGAGAAGAGGGAAGAGAAGAAATATTTGCATGTCCTTGATGACCAGTAGAAGGCTGGTTCTGGATATGGAATGTATTCATAATAGCATGCGAATTGTACATATGCCTAGAATATTTGAAACCTTTTTCTTGTGTGTGATATTCCAATTCTAAACCACCGTCGAGGATTATAATTTTGCTTGAAAATTAGACGATATAGGAGCACCCCCTTTCTAGACCTAACAAATTTTGCACATCAATAATTTTTTATCAACTTTTTTGAGTGAAATTCAAGATCTCACTCCAGCCCCACATTTTTACCCCTCCAAACCCCGTCCACAATTTTCCACCATCACGTTTCTTGAAAATAATTTCAAGTATCAGCCATGGAGAACACAGAAGATGATGATATGCCGTGAGCTTACTGCAACTGAAAAATACTCGAAAGTTCACTAATGATATAAAATAGCGTTTTGTCGGGCTCTGCGCTTGATGCCTTGAAAGAGTTTTACAAAGACCGAGATGCGCATCAACAGAAATTTGAAGACTTGAAGCAGCGGGCTGAAGATCAGGCTGATGGCGTGCCTTTGACCATGGATGCTTTCGCCGAGGACTGGAATGAATCGCAATTTTGGGTCAGTTTTCTTGGATCTGATTCAGGGGTTTTGGAAGCTTATAGGTGGTAGTATTCCAATGAGACAGCCACAATCCTCGCCCAGGAACTCCTGAGAGATGCTGTTGCTGAAACGGTTATTGCTGTTGTATCGGCTCCAAGTGTGTTCATACAGTTGAAAAACATAGTTGTGAGTTAAGTTTGTAGCAGAGGAAAATGTATGGTCATGAAGTTAATATCTGGAAGGCAGGGTGGGCGGCGGACAAGAGGCCGACGCTTCATTTATTGGAGTTTGATGAGAGGTTCGGCGTATTTCCGGAGTTCAGCTTCTATGATTTCAATAATCCGTTAAAACTTCCTTGTGAGTTTTGAAATACCTGGCCATGTTGGGGATGGAATCATTGCTAATGATGGTCCTGTAGCGCATTTGAAAGGATGTGCCGATCGTGTTATTTGTGACCCGCCATTTTTGAGCGAGGAGTGTCAAACTAAAGGTATATAATCACTCAGCTTCTGGTTATAATACTCAGGATATGACACTGAATTTTCTAGCATCTCTAACTGTTCGATGGCTGTCAAAATCATGGGGTCAAAACGAATCGTTGATGTCATGGGGACAAGAAGAAGCTCCGCCATCGAAGCTTATCGTTTGTACAGGTGAACGGGTAGGAGAAATTGTGAATAAGCTTTATCGACCGTGAGTAGTATCCGTTCTTTTTCTGGTGGCATGTTAGCTCACATAAAACAGACAAGGTATTGCAACTACGACTTTCCTTCCGGTGCACGCGAAGGGGTTGAGTAACGAGTTCTTTTGCTTCGCTAATTTTGAATGCGAACATTGGACGTGGAGAAAGTCAGATGGTGAGAAATAGTGTATTCATAACTAAAGGGTATCTATTCCCCATCACAAAAGAATCAAATACATATCAAAGAGCGGCTCGCGCCTTCAACTTCCATCTATCTTGCTCCTTGGCCACTTTGTCATCCGAGTGCAACTTATTCAGAATCTGCACAATGCCACCATTCGCTGGTATATGAAGGTTCTCTGGTACATCCTTATATATTATCTTCACAATCTCCATCGAGGTCCACTCATCCGCTTCCTCATCACTGGCAACAGTAACTCCGGGCTTGCTCTTTGCGGACTTCAACACTTGGATAACCTGGGACTCTCTTTCTTTTCGGTGCCGGATGTACTCTCCAATTCTGCTAGGTCCATCTTCTAATACTGCACCGTGTCCCGGATATGCTTTACCGCTAAAAAGTCCTTTCATTCTTTCAAGACTGTTCAAGTAAGTCACCAAGTCCTCAAACACTGCGGTTCCATGCCCCAACACGTTATCCCCGGTGAACATGACATTCTCTTCTTCCAGTACCAGTGCCATGTGATCGTGTGTGTGGCCTGGGGAATGAACTGCACGGAGAGTTGCACCCTCTGTTGCGAAGATCTGGCCATCCTTGATATCTGTTTGTCCCTTGTCTGGACTGTTCTTGTGAATGACAGTTTTTGGCGAGTATTCTAATAAGTGACCGACTCCTCCCACATGGTCAAGATGCCTAAATTTTTGAATTAGTGACTGTAGATACGGTCTTTGAAGTGAACAAATTCCCACCAATGTGTGAGAATACAAGACGTAACCATAGCTTGTTCTTTCTCTAAAGTCTCTTTCAGATTCTGAATCCAACTTTCCTTCCCGTCGCCCGTATCAATCAGCAATCGATTTCTTCCTTTTCCAACAAGATATGTATTCGTCCCTAAAACCTCGTCAGAACAATCAAACTCTCTACCACATACTATTGTAGTAACCTTGCAATGTAAACTATTCGACATCAGCTGACATGCACAAACCAGCTCTTTCGTTCAAACTCCTCACCTTTCCCGGATTCCCACCAAGGATCCGAATGACCGTAGGACTCAATCGCTCCACTTCTGGCAGTGACACTAGTTGTGTTGCCATTTTCTTGATAGTATTCTTGAGGGATATCATGAATGTAGACAAAGGTTCATTCTTTGATGTTAGAGTAGATGACTCTGGGAATGATGCAATGCCGATAAGCCTCGGTTCATTGATGGCTGTTTGATAAGCATGACTTGGTGTTAATAACGTTAACTTTGAGCAAAGGACTCGGGTAGATGAGACAACTTGATGGCATTCGATACACTTGTACCAAGATCTAACAGAAAGGAAGTGTATAGATGTTTTTTTTTTTTTTACAATAGATGCATTTTTAAATTTGGTCCTGTATGTAATTCCATGGCTTTACGTTGTGACTTCACACAAAGTACAATAGACAAGGGCAAATGTACCTTTTCTACTCGTGAACGAGTTACCTATTTAGCTGAGGCAATGGATGTATGAAATTGGAAGATATAATAATTTTTGCCCTATAGGTCCTATTATGTTATCTCGTATTATATGCAGCTAGAAGAAGAGACCGTTTGAGGATACCTGAGTACGTTGTAACACAACATACCCATCTAATACCCATTCGAGTAAGATATTCATATAGGGGACCATAACCCCAGTCCCCGAAAATAGCCTTTCAATATATTGCCACTTAGTGTCTCACCGCCCGGCCGATTTTCCGCAAGGCTTACCATTTAAGCTTCACATTAATCCATTAATAAATGTTCAGAAATCAGAAATCCATCAACGAATTTACGATTTTGTCGCAATTGCAGGAGATCTGCACATAGGAAAATGTCGACATCTAGACCAGTAACTCCAGCTTCCCCTCGATTTATAAAGATTAAATCGCCGCAACCTGGAGTTCCCAAATATGGCTGTCGTATGTTTCTCAATCCATTCGTGTCGTATTCTCAGCCTTCCCATCCATTGCTAATATAGCATCATAGAGCATATTCAACAACTATTGAATCCGGCTCATGATGAACGTATGAGAAACACAATTACATATTATAAGAATTGTTTGAGGGTGGTTCTAGATAATACACCAATTGTACCTCAGACGTCTAAGACGCCCAAAGGCCCGCCCCTCACTTCTCTGACGCCAAATTACCTCTGTTTGCAATGCGAACGAACAGCTACGGCTCAGGATCATGTAAAGCATGGCCAGGAGACTTCGCATAGATTCTGTATGTTGGTTCGCAATGTCGATGTTCAAGACCTCGCTAATCAGTGACATACTCAGATGTTGAATCAAGGACGGGAGCTTTGTTTTGCCAAATGTGCAGTGATTTTGTATGGGATCCTACACTAGAAGAGTTGAGACTGCGCAAAATTGGGACCGGAACTTTTGGTAGTAAGTCAAACATGAGTTTCATACCACCATTGAGTTTTGTTGTGGCAAGCTTCGATGAGGAGATCTTTAGCACTAGCTGCAGCTCTACAGTGTCTGCATCACAAATACTCAGATACTTTCGTTCTATTATGCATTACATTATCTATCATTCAGCTTTGCCAGCGGCGTTCATACGTCTTTTTACGCAACATGCTGATTTTGCCTTTCACTTTAGGTCGGAAGCGAAAACATGACGAACTTTTTACAGACGCCACCAAAGAGGACCCAAGATTCATATCCACAAACACAATGTCAGCTCCTTGTAGAGCAAGTGGTGTTAGGGGTATCTACAATATGGGAGCTACCTGTTACATGAACGTCATTCTCCAATCTTTCGTTCATAATCCTCTGCTTCGAAATTTTTACCTCGGAGATGGTCACCAAGCAAGCGAATGCGAACAAAAGAATTGTATGAGTTGCGCTATGGATGATATGTTCCAAGATTTCTATTCGCAAGAGATTACAACAGGATATTCAGCTTCAAACATACTTGCTAGCTTTTGGCTTTCGAAGAGAAAAGCATACGAAGAATTGGCAAGCAACAAAGAGCAAGACGCTCATGAGTTCTTCCAGTTTCTTACTGAAGAGCTGCACGAAATTAATGGGGGATCACGAGCAAGCGATCCAGAAGATAGTAGCCCAAATCCTAAGCGATCGAAAATGGATCAAGGCTGTAAATGCATTGTCCACCAGACATTTTATGGAAAATTGCAAAGCACCATCACATGTCAGAATTGCGGAGACGTAAACACATCGGTCGAATCCTTCCTAGATCTAAGTTTAGGTCTTGATGTTATTCAGAAAAAGAGCAAGCTAAAGGCAGCTACTGGCACGATAAGTCTCCAACGTTGTTTAGACGAAGAATATATTCGACCTGAACGTTGTGAGTATTCATGTAATCAATGCGATACTTCAGAGGCAAAGAAGCAACTCAGTATCAAAAGCCTACCCAACGTATTGTGTATTCAACTTAAGGTAAATCTCTCTCCCTTATCACCGAGCTACAACAATCAACGCAAAACTAATACGAGAATAGCGCTTCAAACAAGACCCCAGAGGTCTGGCTTCAAAGATCGATACTACTGTTACCTTTCCTCTTCAATTACATATGCTCCCTTACACCAATCGTGCTCGTGGTGTAGACACGAAGAATAATTTCGAGCTGGCCAGATCATGTACTTATGATTTGCAGAGTGTTGTGGTTCATGTTGGCAATTTGGAAACTGGTGAGCAAGCACTGCATTCCCTCTCTCAATATTTCATTTGAGACACTGATGAAGAGTTCGCTAATGAGAAATTCGAAAATAGGTCACTATGTATCCTACTCTAGAGTCGGAAACCAGTGGTTTAAGTTCAATGACCATAATGTTACGTTGGCGAGTAAGAGTCAAGTGTTGAATGAACAAGCTTTTCTGCTATTCTACGTAATTCAAAGTCTTGCTTGAAGATGTGGCTGGGAGTGAGGATGGCACAAGTAGAATGCACATCATATACATAATAATAAGAACGAAAGGACCGGTCATTATACAAGAGAAGATAGGGGAAGTTCAGAGAGCAGAGCGGAACGCAGGAATGTGGTATACACATAAAATACTTTGGGTTGGAGCTCGGGACATAGGGTTTTGCATTCAAGGCGTTAACGTTGCGGGTATTGCTTGATGGGATATGGAGCAGGATTTGGCTGGGGGTGCATAATTGGTGATTCATGGATGATAGAGATTTGGAGGGAGACGGAAAAGAGGGGAGAAATGGGGGTTATAAAAGGTGTTTCTTTATTTTTCAAAGGGAAATACTTGTTTATATTACTTACATATACCCATTATACAATACAGAAATTGTATTTTTTTTTTAAGAGAGAAAGAATCTGAATGAGTTAGGATGTGTCTGAGAGAAGAAAGGGGAGCAGTGATAGATGGTGATGTGGTGTGTAGTGTTCTTGATTGCTGTCTATTGATCGTTCGGCACAATGCATTTCGATGTTTACTACTTTACAAAGTACTTTGAGAGGAATGAATGAATTGACTTGAGCTTGGCTTGAGGTTGGATACAAGAACGAGGTTAAGCGATAAAGAAGGGGATCAAAATGTATCATGACTCTATATCCGGAGATCTGAATTAGACCGGGAACTGTCGTGGGCGATGAGGTGATATGGGAAGTGAGTGGGATGGGATAGGATAGGGTTTGTGTGATATAATATAGTATAGTATAATATGAGATGATGTGATATGATATGATATCAGTTTATCACATCTGCTGTCTGTTGTCTGCTGTCTGTTGTCTGCTGTCTGCGGGATGAGATGTGATGAGAAGCATATGATGTGATGTGATGTGATGTGATGTGATGAGATGAGATGAGAGAGGAGAAGTAGAAATAGATTATCAAAGTCAATATTTTCTTATAGCTGGGGTATGAGATACAATGGGTGGATTTTTTTGTGTGGTTCTTGGCGTGGAGGGGTAGGTGTGTATGACTGAGTGCGCGATGTGCGGGAGTTTGGATGGGAGGTATTTAGTGTATTTGGTGTGTAGAAGGAGTGGAAGAAAGGGAGATGTTTTTGATGGTGTGTATGTATGTATGTATGTATGTATGTATGTATGTATGTATGTATGTATGTATGTATGTATGTATGTGGTTGCGATTTAAGCGGCTCGGAATCGGGAGAGGTGGGTTGCCGGTGGGAGGATAGAGGATGGGAGGGAGGGCTATTGATGATACGTAGGTATACCTACTGCTGGGTAGGATGGGGTGGGGTTTCTGCTATTGCAAGGTTATCTTGGATCGGTGAAGATGGGGAGAAAAGATGAATGATCTGGACTTTGGGTGGATGAAGATTTGTTAGGTGTTTTACACGTCTGCGATGGATTGTATGTTAGAGGGGGAAGGGAAAGTTGAGGGTTAGTCTGTCTGTCTGTTGGTGGTTATTTGGTGCTGGTAAGTTTGTATCTTTCTCGGATTCCGAAGTATGCGGGGATATCTTAGCGAGATCTATTGTGATCTGATAGATCACAGATGAACTGAGTTACAGTATTGAACAGGTGATGAAATCGGATCGAAGATGGGATTATGGAGAATACAATGCTACAACGGATAATAAAGAATGAATGTAGTTTTAAAATGCCGTAGCCAATGACGTGAGGATGTGGAGTTTAGGTTAGGAGCGGTGTTTAATATCCGAGATACATCCCAGTTTGCGTGTGCAGCGTGTAGGTAGTGAGAGCGAGAGGGGTGGAAGCTAGGACCCCCTCTTTTGAAGGATGGGAGAAGCGAGCTGCAGCCTGCACGGTGTGTTGAGAAGGTTTTAGTGGCGGTCTCGGCGTGGAACGGGATGGTCGATGGCGTCAATCTTGATGAGATGTGGTTCGTTATGTTTTTTGTTTGGGGTTTGGGAGGCGTGAAAGATTGGAAGTCGATGTCCAGAGTAATCTTTGGACGTTGGCGGAGAGGTATGTATACTATGTGAAAGGCTGACGAGTAAGAAACGTGGTGACCGAGTGTGTTTTCTTCGGAGAAGTTTGGTCTGTAAGCCCCAATATGTTTTGATAATCAGATGATTATTTTCCAAGGTAGCTACTAAATATCGGCATGACATGGTCGGGGAGGTATGCAACATGTCAACATGACATGTGTAAGTTAGGGAAAAGAACGCCCTGTGAGTTTTTCTGTAGTCACGATGAATGATGATTCCGATGTTTCCGTTACCACTTGCATGGACTGGGGATTTATTCTGTTCCTCGTGCCACGATGCGCGCATGCAAGAAGTCGAAATCGTGATGAGAATTGTCCCACCATGAATCATGAATGAGTCTTCGGAAATGTCGGAGTTGAGTGTCGTTGAAATGGCTCGATTGCTGAAGTAATAAATGTGGAGGTAAGGAACGAAAGAAAACGTGGTGGTTGGAAGATCTTCAATGGTAGAGCATGGATAGTAGAGGCTCGACAGAGGTTACTAGTCAAGTAAGCTCGTACGTACATGCATGCATGGGTGGAACGGATGGTATTATCCTCGAGCTATCATAATGATCTCAGTCACGAGCGGGGACATGATGTTGGGTTGGAAATGCATGTTATTGGTGAAGGCTTTTCATGTGAGGAGCTTTTTTTCTTCTTTCCTTTCTCTTTTTGATACAGCCTTGTCGTTGACCTGGTGTTTTAATGCAAGGTGCTGGTGGAAAGTGTATTATTAATTATTAAGTATCTATTAGTAATTGTGAGTCTAAGGACCGGAGTATGGTAAGCTTGGTATGTCAGCTGCGTTGTCAGATCTATGATATACTAGGTAATTGAGATGGTTGAGTCAATGTGTGTTTGGATTGAAGTCCTTGCAGGGAAAGAAATGCCGTGCTGAGTCTCATTTATGAGTTTCATGTTAGCCAAGATGATATGTTTGGAATCCCAAGTAGAGACAAGAAGAGACAGTATGTATATGTGCATGTATATCTTGTCGCGCGGTTGTTTGATTGCGCGGATGTTGTTCATTTTGAGTGTTGACGTTCTGCTGTGGATACAATTAATCCTTTGATCACCTTGCACGCTACTTGTACAGAGCTTAATAAACACCCAATGTTCAGTCTAACGCCCCCACGTCATATTCATGCACGCCAAGCCCTATAGCTTTTCTGATGGCTTTCTCACCTAGCTTCAATTACCCACCTGAGCCATTGTAGATACCGAGAATTCTGAATGAAGACAAAGAAAAAGAAGACAAATGCAATGATGTGAGAATTTAGAGAGAATTCATTAGACACAGCTTGAGGTCATATATTCAATAATTAACTACTTACTCTACTATATCATATCATGTATGGTCCTTTTGAAGGAAAGAGACTAAAACATCAAATGCAATGGAAAAGTCGGATGAGGATGATATCACCCATTTCAAATGCCGCCGCTTGCGGTAGTCAGCTTGTAAGTTGTTGCTTCCAAATGTTAGCTTATTAGTCATCTATCAAATTACATTTGTATCCCAAGCAAGCCAAGGTACCTAGCTCATCGAAAAAAATCGTATGCGATCTAGAATTCATTTGGAAGCAACAAGAATCAACTCAAGAGCACCCAAGGCAGGTAAGGTCAGGTAAGGTAGTAAACCCAGCAAAATCCCAATCTCGATCGTTCGCACAAACAATGCCGAATATCCAATCCCTAGTCATTTGGAACCTCGTGCTAGCTGGCTGACGCCTATGTATATGCACATTTGCATTTCAATCCATAGGGCGCGAACTTGGTCAGTGGAGTAAGAAATTCAAAATTTACTGTTCCATTCGAATGATTCGATATCGGAACATACGGAGTCATCACCGTTGGCAAAAATCCTTTCTTTCCATTGCTTTTACCTCATTCCCATGATTCCATCACGGGAAACCTATTTATTTGTCGTTATTCTGCGGCCAATGTTGCTACCTCCTTCCGACTTCTTTACCCACACATTTTCCTTTTCGGCGTAAAGACAAGACAAGACCATTCTTCTAGAACATCTCTTTCTTTTGTTCCACTATTTTGTTTTCATCATCAGTATACATATTTGGTGAACGCCGCACTTGTGATTTCTTCTTACCTCATCCTTCACTGTTCCATACCCCTTGAGATACGATACCCAGAGACCCTAGATTATTTACATTGTGCTCTTTTTCACACTCAATACTTTTCTTACCATCATCGCATCTTCCACTACTAGCACAGTACGAAATAAAATCAGATGCCTTCACATCTGCGAAACCTCGCATTATGTAGCAGTCTTATATTGCTCGGACTTGCACCTCTAATAGCCGCACACGGCGATGAAGAACTGGAAATGGATATGAGCATGCCAATGAGTTCGGTAGCCACAGCTATTTCTACAGCCACAGTTTCGTCCGGCATGGACACCGTGGTGGCTGAACCTTCTAGTTATTTTCGATATTCTGAACATGGCAGTCTGATGGTAGCTCACATTATACTCATGACCATAGGATGGGTGTTCGTTCTGCCAATTTGTGAGTAGTTCGGGAACAGTGAAATGTCTCCAAAATCTAATACATTTTAGGTGTGATGCTCTCCATCTCTCGATCTCGATTAAGTCTCCCTACACAATTCACGTTTCTAGCTTTGAACGGTGGCGGTTTCCTCTGCAGTATAATATACAATGCTTCCACTCCAGACCTTTATCCGAATAATTTTCATCATAAATTGGGGTGGATTTTGATATGCGTAGTCACTGCACAAGCGCTATTAGGGGTCATCAGTGCCTACGCGGGGCGCAGAGGCGAGAAGGAACAGGAGAACTCCGGGTATGTTCCAGTTTCGAGAGAAGCGATAGCAGAGCATACCCGCATGCACGAACGACCTAAACCTATCCCCAGATTATCGGATGATAGTGGTCAAGGTACTGAACCAGGTACCGAATCTCTACGAAGCCAATCGATGTCTCTGTCTGGAGATGATGAAAATACATTAAATGAATCGGAAAATGACGAGTTTGAAAAAGTGGGCTTGATGAAAGGTACCCAGGTGGATCAATACTTGTCGAAACGACTTCCGGGATTACTTTCTGCTCGTCTCTTGAGAGTAATTCAATTTTCATGTGACGTTGTGGATCGAATAATCCTTCTCCTTGGTTTTGCTATTCTCACATCTGGATTCGTCACGTATGGTGGTTTATTTGTAAGTTTTGCCAGCTCCATGAATTCATACATCTTCAGAAACTAAATGACAACACAGAAAGGAGCAGAGATTTACAGTGGTCTTGCGCACTTCATTAAGGGTTCGGTTTTCTTCTGGTATGGAATCTTGACTCTTGGTCGATGGGCAGGTTGCTTCGCCGAAATTGGTTGGTCCTGGAATATTAAACCTGACAATGAGCGACGATTTACTCCAACCGCCGAGTTCGTAGAAAGTTTCCTCATCTTCTTTTATGGCTCCACGAATGTTTTCTTAGAACATCTGGCTGCTTGGGGGAGTGCATGGAGCGCACAAGATCTCGAGCATATTTCAATCACCATTATGTTTATTGGTGGTGGATTGGTGAGTCTTTAAGATAATAATTACTAAACACTACTAACTCGTACAGTGCGGTATGCTCATTGAGTCGAACAAAATTCGCAACCTTTTGAATACCACACTTCAACAATCATCATCTCAAATGTCACCCTATCATCCAGGAGCTCAAGAACCGAAATCCTATAGGTTTTCGATGAACCCAATTCCGGCCTTAGTCGTTATGCTATTAGGAATGATGATGAGTTCTCACCATCAACATTCAATGGTCTCAACTATGATTCATGGACAATGGGGAACTTTACTTGTGGGTGCAGCATTTGCACGTGCTGCTACTTATGTTGTATTCTACCTTTCACCACCAACTTCGATTCTTCCTGGTAGACCCCCTACGGAAATCATTACAGCTTTCTGTTTGATGGCTGGAGGCTTAATTTTCATGGCTAGTGTATGTCATTCCTTCTCGAGCTTGGATGTACCAACACTAACAGAATTGTAGAGCAAAGATACTGTCAAGGCAATTGAAATGAATGATCTCGATGCGATGTTTGTTTTTACAGTTTCCATGGGTCTCATCACATTTTTGATGGCTTGGATTATCTTGGTGATTGCAATCAAAGGGTGGGCAATAAGGAGAGAAAAGAGATGGGGTAAGAGTGTTGGTTATGAAGTCGATGGGACTGCATAGAAATAATGCTAGCGGATAATGATGGTTGTGGGACAAGGGAAGATGGGAAAGTGGAAGGATATATAGATGGGTCATGATACTACGAATGGATGGATGAGAAGATGGAAATGGTAATGTTTATGAGGCGGGAATGGAGTTATGGAGTCAAGATACCATGGATTGTTTGATCTTTTAGGTTCGGGTTTGAAATTGGAATTGGAATTGGAAGTCTTCATTATGAGAGGTGGAAGGCAAGGAGAGATGAATTAATTGAATAATGGGTTTGAAGGTTGAGGAGTAGAATTTTCTGTCACTCGCGCAATCGATATGAATATAATAATCGCAATTGTAGACAGTGTTATTAATTTCTATTTTCTCTTCTACTCTAAGTAGGCATTGAATATAAGCTCCTCACGCACATGGCTCTGTTTAGTTGTAGACTAGAAGTAGATGTTAGAAGAAGAAATTATTGAATGAAAGACCAATTTCAGTGCAATTAATATCTTTTATTTCTTCACGAACAGCAAAACAAATCGATCAAGATCCCTCTTGTTTATAACATCTACCAAACCTGACACATTCCTAACACATCCCCTTCCCAATATCCATATTCCCACGATCTCGTGAATAGTAGTAGGTAGTATTGCGTTTATGTTCAGCCCACTCCCACCCACCCTCGAACATCCCCCGACCCCTGGTCCAAGCGCCCATCCCACCCAACCATCACCACAACCTTTTTTACTCATATATATATTCCCAAACAGCAGGTTACGAGGTCGGAGTGGGACAAGCTAGCTCAGAATTCATTTCTTGGCCTTTTACCAGAGATGACCGTGGCTCATGCCCATGATACTCCATTTTTCAAATCTTTGTAACACACCTTCTGATTATTCAGAGCACTTTATTTTTGCATTTTTGAAAGGGGGGGGAAGGGTTGTGTGAGGAGGGGGATTTTTTGGAGGTGGGTGGGTGGTAGGGGAGGGGATGGTGAGTGAGTGAGTGGGTGAGTGGGGGGTTTTTGTGGGGTGTGGAGATGGGGTTGGTGGATGGTTTTTGGTGAGGGAAGGGGGATTGTTAATGTATGTATGTGTATAGTATGGTTTTTGCAGTGTGATTTACGATTTTGTTTTGATGAAAGAGTTTGTTTTTGCGATTTCCTAGTACTCTCTAGAGATTAGATGAATTTTTTCTATTTTTTGCATGATAAATTTAAGGATGTAGTTATTATCACTTATTTAAGGAGTTCGCAGATGCCAAATGTTGCTCGATTTTCATTCACGGGAGAAAGAGTGCTGATGGATTTAGTTTTTGTTGATTCCAACTAGTATTTGAATGGAGAGTGTGAAAGCTCGAATGTTTTTGAGCTATCTTGGATTCAATATATCAATTGCTTTGGTTGGATACAGCAGGCAGAATGATTGTTATTCGAGATTCTTCAAAGCTAAACTGCAATCCCAAACATATGCTATTGAATTCGATCTAATTAAAGTGGGGTTGTGAGCTGAATATGTGAATAGACTGTTACACCGTTGATAATTTCATATTGCTAAAACTGACGCTGAATGATGGGAAAGGAAAAATACCTCAAACCAGTACGATAGTACGCATTTCCCATGGCAATGAACTGCAATATTTGAGGTCTGAAATCTGTGCCAAGCCTACCCTCTTAAAAGTTCCCTCTTCTGTACCGGGGTGGACAAGGAGACACATTGTACTGCCAATATCAGGTTTCATTTGGTACATCCGTCCGCAAGATCTGACTGTCGATTTGCTGATGCTTGCAATCCGTAATATGATGAGGTTATTGGAATTACGCTGCGTAGTAGAGAGCTGCTCAGTTACAGCCTTTGTCTCGCGTAACAAAACATGACGATTCGTGTATTTTAAGTTCGGTGATGGAGCTTGAGCTGGTTTTTGGGAGAATGGTACAGCATGAGTTCTCGATTTTGCCACAAGACTATAGAAAAAATGGATGCAAGAAGATGCCCAGTGAAGAACACCTTTTACCCTTGGCTGCAAAGCACTGACTTGTGGAGGTGGTGAAAACAACGGTTCTGAAGGCCAGGCGTATGAGTTTCGACGGTTCGACATCAAATTTTAGGAGAATTTCCCTTCTCGCAGCCATTGATGGTAACAAAACGGCGGGGGTCGCTATAGCCACATCACTAACAATCCTCGCTGACTTAAACGAAGACAATGGGTATGGAGTGTGAGCTTCGCAGTTATAAGATGTCCGTTGGGAATCCCATCAACAGTTGTGATCTCACAGCTAGATATATTGGCTTTAAATTTTTGAGCTGTCGATTTCCAACCGCCGAATGGATAAAAGCCATGGTCATAAGAATCATTGTAGGGGCTGATGTCGAGGCTGGCCCAGCTCCATGAAGGTGCAATATACGCTACTGGGATATTCACTCGCCCAGTTACTCTCCAGAGAAGACCAGCATGGGCGTCTTCGGCCCATATACCTACCCAATAAGTAAATCCGGACTGTGCTTCAATTTCTTGTATTAATCCAACCAACGCAATGGGTCTATCAGTCTCAAAAGTAAGAGCACGAGTCGCATACTCATCGACTAAGCTGTACCACCGCTTCTTTATGTTGAGTAACCGAGCATGTAAGGGGCCAAAGTTGTCATATATATGCTCTTCCCCATGGATTGGGGCTAAGAAAAATCTTTGGGCATCCCTACTATGCACGGTCTATCGCTTGACGACAAGATTCCCGGATTCACATTCGATTCTGAGAGTTTCTGAAGCTGGCAATTCCAGACAAGTTGTTCATGATTGTAGTGTAGAGCGCGTGGAGAGAGAACGTGTTCTTGAAGCGTCCATCCTCTAGTAGCGAGAATGGGTCGACGCCGACCGGGGTATGGGGTTTAACATCTGCTTGAAGATATATCGTACAAGACCCTGCGCGTCGCCAGTGCGCTAACGGCATGGAAATAGAAACCTTTGCCATTTGTGTACGTAAAATGCGCAGAAACCCAATTTGGTCAGAAGATGCGTCATCGGCAGCAATAAAAAATCACAATGTTTGTAGTATTCTCACATGCGCTTGCCTCGGATAGCCAATCTGCCTGGGCAGCAACATCGGAACCTTGGAGAATGCAAATCGAATCAATCCATAGATACTTTAATTTCATACACCTCGTGACTTTGATGGCATCTTTCAGTGTGGCCGGAAGCTCTTGCATAAATATAGAACGTGTTCTGCAATCCAAATTTGCGACATTAGTTACATAACCACCAACCTGACCCCAGCAATGGCTTAAGGTAGCCCAGTTGCCCATCTCGCCTTCTTCACTAATATGTAAGTGTGATGTCTTGCGTACATATTCCGTGATATGTTAACAACGGAGGAGATAGATATAATGCTTTAGAGAGGACGTTGCGTGTTGAGGATCTGCTACCACCCGAATTAGCACTCATTCGACTCCAAGTTTTAAAAGATAGCATTGTTTTGAACTCTTTGGCTGGATTTTGTGAATGTTGCAAAAGATGCAATGAAAATTGGAAGGAAAGCCAACTCAGCCGCTAAAAGTTGCCCAGGTGTAGGATGGGGCAAGTGTACCCGATCGTCAAGACTATCAAAATTTATTCACACTTCTCTCCTTTCATCTCATATTCACACTTTACAACTTTATTACACTTCACCCCATTCCTCTCACTCAAAACAATAAAACGAAAATTATTACCCAAGAGAAGTATTGGGCAGACATTGGTGGTTTCTTCAATCTTCCATCTTCCCTGTTCCTCACCAAGCGAATCATCAAACAAGTGACGTCCTACCCTGCCATCCCAAACTGCAGCCCTACCAACACAACATATCAAAAGCAACAACCCCATAACATCACATCACCCTCACGCTCATACGATACGATACCAAATAAATATCTACAATCATGACTACATATTCTTCCACTCCACTCTTCGGCGGCGCCCTCATAGTCGACCTTCCATCTACATTCGCCGACGTCAGGTAAGCTCTTTCTAGAAAAAAAAACCAACCAACATCACAACACATGCAGAGCCCCACATCCACTCCTGACGAAAACTCAAAACTATCACGATCAGCACCAAACTAACAATTCCACAGTACAATAAGACAAGTTCCCGACCATCAAGAAGTCTATTTGGATAAAGATGGTTTCACCAGTATCATATTCGATATCACCGAGCGAGTCGGTACTGCGGGCTCTAGCCCCGCGACCGATGGAGCGGCTATGACGACTCATTTGGAGGATATTGTTGATTCCGATTTGGATACTGTGAAAGTGTGGTCGATTACTGATACCAAGTTTTCTAAATTGCCGTGTGTACCTCACATTCTTTTGTTCTTTTCCCATTCCTCTATCCTCTATCCCCCATCATCCATCTCCGCTACGTCACATGACCAAGCCTCATCTACTCAACCCAAATCTGACAACTCCCAGCGAAAACACTCCCGCCTACACACTCATCGCCACTCAAACACCCCCTCATGATCCCAACTCCCGCGCCTCAGCTCCAGATTTCACAGCCATAGTACTAAATCTTATCCGTTTAGAAAGAGAGAGTACAGATATCTTGGTAACAATTAACGTGCCTCATATTAAAGGCGAATATTCAGCCGACGATGTGGATTTGCAATTAGGGAAACAGGGAAAGTTGATTGAGAATGCTGTTGAACATGCAGCAAAGATTTGGGAAACTTTCAAGATTAAGGATTGGGGTCTTTTTGATGAGGTTTAGATGATGAAAGGGGGAAGAGGAGTGAGAGAGGAACGGATGGAAGGGGATTGGGAGATGGGCGATATCGAAATGGAATAAAGATCGATTTAGTATGGATTTGGCTGGATGCTGAGGATTTACTATGTTTCACAGGTTGTTTTTCAAATTTCCATTCCCTTTGTCAGGACAGAGCAATGCGTATTTACAGAATTAGCTGTCATTATGATGATTATTGTTCTGAATAGTCTGGATTTCATTAGTTATTCAACAAATCTCAAATTCCAATTTGATTTTTCTCTCACTCTCACTCTCACGGACTCGTCAAATCCAAGAAATCGAGTTTCCTCGCAACAATCTCCACATCCCCGTCATCAGGCGTACTCTCCTTCTCCCCCGCTTGTGCAGCTTTACTAGCCTTCTGCTCCTGATACTTCTTCGCTACCAACCCCATAATATCTTTCTGCGGACTCCCCGGATTCTCGTCCCTGATCCTCTTCATATTTTCCTTTACAAAAATCTGATACTCATTCTCCTTTCCATTCTTTGCCGCTCCCCTAGGCACCGGTTTGATCTGTGCCAAAACCCCCTTACAAGCACCACACCTATGTCTTTGCGTATCGATACTTTTCGAATGTCTCTTAAACAGTGTTTTGCAACCTGCTTCCGTACATTCCCACACATATTTATACTCTATCTCATAAGAATGTTTCGTCGTAACCTCAATTCCGCGATCCCCAAATTCATTCGAACACTTCGCAGCCCATTCTTTGAATTCTTTTCCGTGCGGATTAGTTTTGATATTCGAGATCATGAAATTGGCCAGATGACAGAATTCGTGCGCGAGAACATTCAAGAGACGGTTTTCGTCGTCGATGACTTTTTCGGCGAGCTCGATGGATGCGTAGTGACGGAATGTGGTGGGGGCTTTGCCATCGGTATTGGTGGTTAGGGGAGATTTGATGGTCTCGCGTTTCCAATTTGCACGACCGGCGGTTGTGATGAGTTTTTTGGACCAGATGATTTGGACGCCGCCGGTAGAGGCGGAGAGTTCGGCAATGCGGCCGGATGTGATTTTGGTGTCGAGTTCGAGGAGGAAATCGGAGGCGATGGTGTGTTTGGAGATTGAGAAGGCTTTTTTGGAATCTTTGTCTATGCGAGGAGCTTTGAACGAAGGGGGTTTCTTGAAGAGAGATATACCTCCTGAAGTTGAGGGTGGTTGAAGTTTGGGTTTGGAGATGGGTTGGAGGGTTTTCATGGGAGAGTATTGATCGTTCCAATCGTTGACAAGATCTTGAGACCAGAAACTATCCATACTGGGACGGTGCGGTGTAGATGGTATGCGGGATAACTTTTTAGGCGATGCCAGGCCTCGAGGTTTTGATTCCGGGCTTCCTGGGGGTGTTGATAGTTTGACTCCTTTGGATACTTTTCTGGGTGAGGGGGAGCTTGAATATGTTAGCATATCTCTAATACCATGAGATCGACTTCCTTACAATCGTAAAACAGCTCCATTGTCATCAAAACTAGAAGAAGTCCCTGGCCGGATCTCAACTTTCTCGTCTCTCTTTGGTGGCTGTAAGACAGGTGGGTTGAATGCAGGTGGTGTATCTTTGTCGTCGAGTGTAGTTTTATCTAGTAGTTGTCGTAGAATCTCCTCCTCTGTATCAGTATCACTCGAATCTTCAACCACTGTCCTACGACCCCTGACCAGTCTTCGAGTCGATTTTGGAGGTGTTTTGAACACGTCAGAATCGTCATCGTCGTCTACTATGAAATCTGATAGATCATCTGAATCATCATCTTCGTCTTCCTCCTCTGAATCGGCTATTGTAGGTTTCCGAGCCGTTGGTCTTCGTTTCCCATCAAGATCTGGTATCCTAGGCTTTGGAACCATTGGTTTCCTTTTTGGTTCATCCTTCAACACTTTTGGCATCGGTACAAAATCTGATAAATCGCCCGAATCATCTTCATCCTTTTCCTCTTCCGAATCCGTTACCCTATAGTTCCGAGCCACAACTTTGCGCTCCTCTTCAAAATCCGGTATCCTAGGTTTCACAACCGTTGCCTTCCGCCTTGGTTCTTCCTTCGCCACTCGCGTCATCGGAACCGCTGAATTTGAAGCCGATATCTTTCTAGGTTCCGTACTCGATCGCTTCGTACCCATACTCAACGGTTTCAAAAGCGGATTATCTGAGTTCTGCTTCAAAACGCGCTTCCTAGCTTTAGGCTTTGCATTCTTAGAGCTTTCCATTTCATCACTCCCTAATTCCTCCACATTTGAGACCATCGATCCTTTCTCTTTCTTCAGGTCACTTTTCGGTTCACTCCGCTTGACCTTCCTATTTGTTTCTCCAGATACTTTTTTGATGTTTTTGTTCCTGCCTTTCCTCGAATAACTTCATTCACGTCCGGGAATTCCTCATCACTACTATATACTACAAGCCCTCGCCATAATAAATATTGGTGCAGAGAAATTGGCTGCAGTAAACTTTAAATTAATATCAATGAGTTGTTAATGTATCGATTATCGTCTGTTTTTTTTCCGGGTTGTGACTTCTTTGTTGGCTCGGCAACGAGATGCTGATAAAGTGGGTTTTGTAAATTTAGCACCAGGACAATTGTTTCACCCCTTTCTTCACGATTAAGGAATATGATTTGATGGAATAAGTCCATGTTTTCAAATGCCATCTTTCATTTAGTTGGTGTACAATTGAAGTACGAAAGCAACATTATAGATGTATGGTCTGCAGGCATTACTGGAAGTAGCTTCTGCTATATACGGGTAAATATTAAGGTTACAATACATTTCCAATATAGATAATATCCTCTCGGTGGCACTCTATCATCTAGCTGGAACAACTTGCGTGAAGTGATGGATCATTCATCGTCCTCCTCCGGATCTACCTCCTGTGCTTCATTGTTTCCACCGTCAACCTTTTGTTCCTGCTTCCTCCACAAGGTAGCCAGGAATTCACCTGTGCTAGCTTCTTCTATAGATTTATCTTCTCTCTTTTTCAGGAACCTGGGAAATCTCAAACTTAATCCCTTTTCATCGCTCACGAGCCCAATTGCCGCTCTATAAACTGGACTAATCGTGACATCCGCAAAAGCCATCTCCCAGACCTCTTGTGGTTCAAACCATACATCGGGGTTCCCTCCTCGATAATCGACGTAATTCGGTTTGCCTCCAAGAACATGCTCGCCACCTTCTTCGTAAAATTCTTTGTTGGCCTTGTAAAATGTATCACTAAATCCCGAGATACACTTACACACGGCTTCCAGAGTGCCTGTCTCTTCGTTGCGAACCGCGAGGAGGATTGGCGACCAAAATTTTGCTTTGCGTCCTTGGCCGTGCCAAGCAGCAACAGGTATCAAATCGAGTGTATCATATGAAGCACTATAGTCTTTCTTCACTTTCAGCCAAGAATCCAGTCGTTTGTCAGGCTCGTAGGTAGACAATAAAGCTTTTCTTCGAGTTTTCTTCTCGGGCTCTTTATCTATAGGCTTTCCTCTCTCTTTTGCATGCTTCTGGGCCGTCTGGAGAATAGAGGATACTGGTTCATCTGAAAATTTCTCTGACTCAGGTAACGTGGGGTTTGGTAGATTATCTAGAATCTTCACCATGATTCCTTCGCACTTTCGCTCTGTTGCACCTTTGAAGAATTCCAAAACAACCTCTGAGTCTTGAGAAGTAGCATCGATACTCTTCACCCAGGTGAACTGATTCGGTACCTCAACGAACAAACCCCGTAGAAGTTCTCGTCTTTCCCGGAATGTTCGATTCAGAAGTGATTCGCCATTCAAATACATCAAATCGAAAGAGAACAAGCACACGTTAATAGTAACGCTTCCGATTGCTACGTCTTTCCTCGCTCTATTTGCTAATGATTGAAAGGGTTTCAGATCACCAGTTTCCCGATCGACAGAAACGACCTCTCCTTCCATGATGAAACTATCAACTCCTTCTCCGCGAATCTTGGGAATTAATGCCACAAGATCGGGATATTTGTCAGTCATGAGTTCTAGATGCCTGGAGAATATTGACACTTTGCCATTCTCATCGCAGTGAACTTGTGCTCGTTGTCCATCATACTTATACTCGCAACTGAAATCTCTACCTTGAAGCTTCGTAAGCATTTCTGCGAGATCCCTAGTAATACTTCCTAACATGGGGCGCAACGGAATGTGTAAGGCTAGTCCGCATCTAATTAGTAGTTCCTCGCAGACTCCAATCTCAAGTAAAACGGGTACCAGGTCGTTATAATTGGGTCTCTTTGCAAAACATGCTTTCACGATTTCTTCACCTTTGGACCACACCTCAGTCAAGCCTTCTTTTTTAAGTTTTGCCAACTCTTGTGGTGATTTAAGAGGAAAGTCTGCTCCCGGTGGTTTAGATAGTTGGAAAGCTCGAGATAAAGCAATCAACATTGTAGTTTTCACTGCACCAATACGGAGCTAATAGACAGGATCAGTGAGAGGTCGACATGGTGCTCCATAAATCAACCGTACGGAGTGTATTGGGAAGACAGTATGATTACTTACATGTTGGCACAAAGTTCTAACAACATATCGACTCTCCTCTGCTCCTCTGGCATCTTGCAGCAAACGATCAACAACTCGTTGCTTGATCTCACTACTGCCTGTTCCTTGCGTCTTGGCTATTTTGATCAGGGATTGATAAACTCCTTTTATTGTGAGTGGCTTTGGCTTTCTCAGTGTGAAACTTTGTCTCTTCTTCGCCTCAAAAGCGACATCACCAGCATCACCATGTTTGTCGTATAAGGTCTTCAATGACCTAGAGTCTAGCCCACACACATTTTTCAATGCTTTTGAAATGGCTGAGCCTCCTAAACCTAGTTCAAGGGATATGTATGGCGGTGAAATCGCATTCGTTGCCAGCCAGACCTTTATTGAGAATCAGTACAAGTATACAACGGAACCTATCATGTGACTTATGATACGAAAATGTTGTATCTGCCTATGAAAGACTTGTAGACACGGAATGAACATACAGTAGGTAGGAGAGCATCCGGGTCACCCTCGATAATGATCCTCAGTAAATTGACTAAAGTATCTACAATTTTTATGCGACTCTGGGTGCTATTCACGAGTACAAAACATCTTGTCAAGAGAGCATAAGACGCATCCCCTCCTTCTGCAGCCCAGTGTTTTTGCAGATCAAACACATACTTGGAAGGTTCGAAAGTCAAAGGACTTTCATCCAGTGGTATGTTTGATGAAATGGTATCTTCTGCTGTGCCTGCGGATTGTAGAGAAAGAGTGTTTTTATTGATATTCGGCTTGGCCAACTTCACATTTGGCTGGTCGTGAATGCTATTAATTAAGGTCTCTTCATCTGTATGGCTTGTAGTAGCTACCGCAGGAATTGGAGCCTCTGAAACATTCTCATCGATCTTCACCGAAGGATTCTCGGCCACATCCCTTGCGCCAATCGATTCCCGATTCCATTCCTCTTGTAATTTTCTAGCCAGTTGCTCATCGGTCAATTCCGAAGGACCCGCGCTACCTGGGCTGCTCAGGATTGGACTGCCGACTGATCGAGACGACAACCCTTCTTCATCTTTCTTTTGCTTTCCGAAAAAGAAGTCGAGATTTCGAGAACCATTGGACTTTGTATCATTGTTGAGCTTCCTCCGCTTCGTAGGTGTCCCCATGGTCTATATGCCTTTCGCCACTTGCACCTGAAATCGTAGAGTCAATGGTTGCGAATATGCTTCGTATTATCATCTACGCGCCATTGTAAGAACTGTTGCTAAGCGCAATGCACGTTTTGATTAATTATTGGGTTTGAAACATCTCGAAAAACCCAAAGTGAGCTGTAGGATTAAAGAAAAAGTTTATTGACAGCTACCTAGTAGATACAGCCCGCGCATATTTCGGTGACGTCGTCGTCTTTCAAAAGGGACCCCGGAAAATGGTAGGTGCTCTCCACAATGCATGAGATGGAACCAAACATCAAAAATAAAAATAATTGCTCTTTTCAATATTCGAAATTAAATCTGGTAATTAAAATTCAGATTTGAAAATTAAAATAAAATATTCAGGAGCTTCTAATTGACTTGGTGTCGGATATTTCTACCATCTGGTACATCTTTTGATATTGTTATAGGATATCGAAATGTAAGTGTGTATTTTTGATGTTTGGTTGAGTGAACGTAGATGTCCATATAAATTCTGTAAGTGCTTTTTGGCGACGCTAAAATTTAATTGTTACATAACCATGCCTACCTTACGTTAATTTACCTTCACTAAGGACAACTTCAATTATTGCAACTGTCAATCGAAAAGGACCACCCGATCAATAAACATGTCGCTCCATATAGAGCAGGAGCGTAGCCCGAGGGCTTATTTGTGCAATCCTATCGACGATATACCAGTTGGAGAAAGAAATATTAGAGTTGAAGACTGGTTGAACGACAAAATCCAAACCACCACAGATATGACAGATCTATCGAGCTTATTGGAGAACGTAGAAGCAAAGCAAAGACAGCTGGAAGAGCAAGTAAGTTGCAGTATATATGTTGATTCATTCTACTAGCTAACTAGAACTTCTTCTAGTTGAAAGATGCCAAAACCAAGCTCGCTGAGGCCAAAAAATCCGCGGCAAATCATACTTCGTCGATGACCCAAAAGACTCAAACTTTTGAGCAACACCAAGAGGACTTACGAGCGCGGATGATGATTCTTACATCTTCAGATACTCCAGAGGAAGCAGTGCGACGTTTGAAAGGGCCGATGGAGAAACTACAACAGGTCGAATTGGCACAAGCATATGTTGAACTATTGAAGGATGTCGATGATCTGACCAAGGAAGCTCATCAAAATTTACCTGAAAACCCTACTGAGGCTCTAAAGCCATATGTGCGATTAAAACAACTTGCGATGACTTTACAAGCGACTCAGAATTCCACAGAAATTGCTGCCCCTCATCTCGTTTCTTACGTCGAACAGACTTCCAATCATTTATGGGACCAGATGGTTCAAATCATGGTCAAAGAATTCCGGGATGTACTCAAAGCCTTGAACTGGCCAGATCTCACTGTTGAAGTTTCCAAGGAATGGCAAATATGCTTTGGAAGACTTTTAGACCTGCAAGCTCCAGAGATTAGAGAAGCTCGAGAGCCCCTTGTCCTTCTTCCTTTCGAAGTTCTAGTGAAGGAGAGTGAACTGAAATTTCGCTATCACTTCATGGGAACCACGCCTACGAGTGCGAGCAGTCTTGTAAGTTTCTATCTTCCGTTATGAAACCACTCTGACAAAATTAGCTCGGGGAATATTACCTAAACTGGATCATTGATGTTATAGATGCGCATGAGACTTATCTTCGAGACAATGCTGGACCTGTTCTGGCTGCACACTTCTTAGGCAGTCCTTTAGCGGGGAACTCACTTTACATAGACCCTGTATCTGCCTTTATCACAGCACTCTTGCCATTAGTCAAAGAGAAGACCGATTTTGTTCTTAACGAAATTCAGCACAACTCCGCGCACTTGAGTAAATTTATAGGCCAATTAATGGTCTGGGACGATGCTATCCGAATCAAGCACAAGTATGATGGTGGCAATTCTGAAGTTGGATGGGTTGGTGTGACTTGGCATGTTCTAGATAAATGGTTCGTTCCCTGGCTAGAAGCTGAGGAAAGATTTGCCTTCCAAAGATATGAAGAAATAATGGAATCGCCAGACAATGGAGATATTGACTACGACAGCAACGAGTCTAAGAAGACTAAAGGTACCTTTGGTGCTACCAAGGTCACTGATCTCCTGAAGGCAATTACAACACAATATAAAGACCTCAGAAAAGTCTCACATAAACTTCGTTTCTTCCTCAATACTCAAATCGCGGTTCTTGATAGGTACCAAATTCGCCTGTCCGAATCTCTGGATGCGTATATCTCACTTACCTCAACTGTTGGCCGTATAGCTACAGGCGCCACTAAAGAACAACAACGGTCTGTCGAGGGAATGGCTGGGCTTGTCAGCCTTTGCAAAGTCTTTGGTAGCGCAGATCATATTATCTCAACTCTGGAATTCCTTAGCAACGAAGCGGTTAGCATCTTCTCTCAATACACTATGACGACGACAAGTACTGATTTTTGGTTAGTTTTTCGTGGAATTATATTTTCAATTGGACGAGAGGGCACAAGGTGTACATCCGGATAGCGCCATCGCTGGCCCGATTACCTGTTCGCAACTGAAACTATCTACTTCGCTCAAGCTAGGCACTGGTGAAGGAACCATCTTCGATACAACCATCCAAGGCTTCAAGAAGATACGAAGCAACGCGGGAGATCTTCTACAGAGAGCGATTAAATACCCATTTCCAACTGCTTTCAGAGCTTATCTCACTCAAGCGCAATGGACAACAGTTGGTCAAGACTCTCAACCTTGTAAGTTATTTTCTTTCATCCTAAACTCCCTAATCATCTAAATCCTTGATACCCTTTGAATTGTTCAGTATCCATGAAGGATTCGGACTGTTTCGATGATTAATTAGCATCTTTACAATATTTGAATTGTTCAACTTGCTTGAATTTCCACGAGCTTTTCACTGATCATGTTTAGTACCACATTACACGTCCTCTTTAACAATATCAGCCGAGCTTGACCAACCTCTTCAGGTAATGAAAGAGAAAATGGCTTATCTCGAGAAAACCATTTCTTATCCTGCATTCATGCGAATTTGGCGTCAAGCAATCTCAGCCCTTGAAGACTTGCTTTTTAACGAAGTCCTCCTCAGGCAGGATTTCACAACGTTAGGCGCAGCTCGCTTTTCCCAGGACTTAAAAGGTATTCAAAGCATCATTGGCAACTATCTACCGTTGGAGGGCACGGCATTCATGATGCCACGACTTACGCAGGGCATTGCTTTGCTAAATTTGCCTATAGAGGCATCGGATGAAGAAGGGATGTCTTTGTCAGAGGCAGCGGAGAAGATTTATGCTGGTAGACAAGCATGCGAAGGGGTTCTGAAAAAGTTGCATATGGATCTATTGGACAATCCTACCGCGAGACAGATTATCCTGCGAAGAGTTGAGGCAAACGATTAAAGTAAGAGGTGGAAAATGTGGATGGGCCGTGGTCAACATTGGATTAGATCATGACAAAATCATAAATCTTTGACCAGATATTCAATATTTAGAAATAGCAAAATATGTAACTTTTGAATGTTGAGAGATCTTTCGATTTTTTACCGTCTCTTAAGGTTTAGCACAGCAAGCTTTGAATATCAAGAAGTTCCCGACATGTCAAACACTTCAATCACATTTATAACTAACTACAAAAACATGTGTCGTCGAAATTCAGCTCAAATCATTGAAATCCTAGATTTTGAAAGGTTCCTAATATATAGAGTAAAGCAAATGTCTCAATTTCCCCCTCAGCCACTCCTCTCAAATTACCTCTTGCTTCTCCATCGTCAACTTCGTGCAGCCAATTTCCTGGGGAGGCTCGTCCTCGTTCTACTCCCCTTCGGTGTACCATGTAAGGAATGAAATGACAATCTTACCCCCCGTCTCAGGATCATCACTTCATCGTCACTCCCTCGTTCCGCCCTGGTTTGTGAATTCTACTGTATCGAAAACACCATAATTATTAAGAAAACCTCTTGTACACTACTTCTCATTTCCTGACTGTTGAATGGGAGTACAATCGCTCTATCTCTTGGAAGTGCAGACTGTTCTAGTTCATCTCAGTACATTTCTTGTGTCGTCGAGTTGGATATGTTGGATGATAGATGTTGGATTTCCGACGCGATGCCCAAGCTGTGTGCTGCATGTAGGGTTGTGTGGAGAATAGGGGAGATGTCAAGAATTCACAAATCGCATTGCTAAGGTTGATATGAGATGTTAGCAATATCAAAAGGAAAGCGATGTATTTCTAAAAGTGACTGAAAAGATGTAGTCACAACTGATTCTAGAGTGATTTGACACATACATGCACGAGACGCGAGCACTTGCAATGATCAACTAGCATCACGATCATGGTTGATGTCCACTAAAAGGTAACTAATCATGCAATCGACCATCCTCTGAACAGGCCATCAGACGAAGGACAGAACAGCTGCTATCCAAGGTCTGAGCACGGAAATTCTCATGTAGAAGTTGGGCACATACGGAGTACTTGAGAGGACCTGCGCACATTCTCTGCTACCATGGAAATTTTGAATGCACAATGAAGATCCGACCAAAGCAATTGCCAATAAAATATCACATGTTTGAAAGATTGAGAAGATTGATTGAAGATTTATCATCAGTCAATGAGGTCATATTTGTCTAAGCAATGCTTTTTGCATTAGAAATTGGTTAAGACAAAATGCATCCCGAAAAACCCAGTCGATAACTCCTCCGTTCCCAACCTAAAGCACTCTAAGCCTTAGCGGCAGCTTGGTTTGGGTTGACCTTCTTTCCGTCCTTGTTGTATCTAACACGGGGAGGTGGGGCACGGTTACGTCTTCCAACACGGGATCGGACACTGTAGAAAAGGGAATCAGCCCAAGTGTTCTTATAGGGTCAAACTTACTGGCAGTTCAACCAAGGATTCATCTCATAGCATTAACATACCGGACAATCTTGCCGTGAATGGCGCAAGAGACGCAGTATTGCAATTTGAGGTACATCTTGGGAACTGTGTACTCAGAGAAGACAGATGCCTCTGAGATATCACCTGTAATGAATTCGTATTAGCGCCTGTTGCAAAAGTCCAAAGTCTCTCATCCGCCAAATCTCTCGATGTTCCATATTTTCTGCGAAATTGATGAAAGGGAATTATCTGGAATAATCAGAACGTACGGATGGCAGCGGACTCAACCATATTACGGATGGTAAATCTCTTGATCGCCTTGTCCTTTGGTGTGCATCGGGAGCAGTTGGAGCATCTGATGGGCTTGACGTGACCACGACCCTTCTTGTTACGTCCGCTATAAAATCAATCAGCCTCCTGATTTGCTAGGTATTTCATGTTTTTCGACGTTGATATAATCATGATAACTGTATCATTTCTCAAAGAGCTCGTCGTAAATTATGGATGGAGTGGGAAATCGTACTTGGACGCGCGCTTCTTGACCATTTTTGCGGATTCTAAAATAATTTGTTAAATTTGTCCAGAGATCAACTTTGAAGATATCTGCAAACTTACTGAATTGGCGGATTATTCAAATCTTTGGTTGTTGGTTGGCGATTGTCGTTCGTAGGATTGAAATCTCGTAAGTCAACATCTATCAATATTCAATTGTGTGATCTGGTAAGCGAGACCTAGCTTGGCGCTAACGCATTTTAGCGCACAACCAAACTTTCGAAATTCCCTATCAATTATCTTCAACTTTTCTTTTCGAACTCTACAAGACCTTTGAGGAAGACAATCTAAACCGTTGTCCAGGTATGTCATTACTATCTGAATGCGAAATCGCATAATTTGAATATGATTGAATTCTAACACCTCTTTGAAGATAGTCATGCAGATCTTCGTCAAGACCCTCACGGGCAAAACCATCACCCTCGAGGTTGAGTCTTCGGACACCATCGACAATGTCAAGGCCAAGATCCAAGACAAGGAGGGAATCCCACCCGACCAACAGCGATTGATCTTCGCCGGAAAGCAACTCGAAGATGGCCGCACCCTCTCCGACTACAACATCCAAAAGGAGTCCACTCTTCACTTGGTGTTACGTCTCCGTGGTGGTGGCAAGAAGCGCAAGAAGAAGGTCTACACTACCCCAAAGAAGATCAAGCACAAGCGCAAGAAGACCAAGCTCGCTGTATTGAAGTACTACAAGGTTGATGGTGATGGAAAGATCGAGCGTCTCCGCAGAGAGTGCCCAACTCCAGACGTAAGTTATCCTACAATAATTGTTAAATTTGGAACGCTACTAACTCATTTTCAGTGTGGTGCCGGTGTCTTCATGGCTGCCATGCACGACCGTCAATACTGTGGACGCTGCCACTTGACCTACATCTTCGATGATGCCAACAAATAAATTATCTTCAATGGATAGTCGAATGTGAAGGAATAGATTTTCGCACGCTATGGTGTCGTTCAGATATTACTCAATGCTACGCAGAATCTATGGCATACATGCTTGATTTATCAATTATTGGCTTTGAAACGTGAAAGTGATTCTTGTGAATATGTTAAACAAAATCGGCTTAAAGCCTTGGAATGACTGAAGAATGAAACTATAATGTTCTATTGAAGAGATGACGAGAGCCAGCAGAAATCTACCACCGGAATTGCCTATCCCGCTGCATTACCATGACCCAGGCCTAGCCATTGTTCCCCTATGCCCCAGCTTTGGCACTCGTTACCTTTACCTGATCCGCGGCCCATCTGTAATCATAATCATCTTCATGCGCGCAAGCATTACTATACATGTTCAAGATCCCCAGCTATCTCCTACCCGCCTAGTCAGTATCCCCTTACCCTTCTTCAGAGAATACAAGGCGCCCAAAGACATCCAAGTATTGCTAGAATTCAGGGACTATTCTATTTTTGTGATGTTCTTCCTAATTTTGGCAACATAAATGCCTTAAAGGTCTTTACAGTAGAACCTTCCAACGATTGACAGGATAACTAAAGGAAGCTCGAGAAGTGACATTTCCCACATTGCTGTTTGTGCGTTTTGATCCAGGAGCTTCGTGCGCGACAGTGACCACTACATACTCGTGATCTCAAGACTACATGGACATCATACATAGGCTCATGATTGATATAACAAACCGACATCGCAAATATGAGACTTTGGCAGAAAAAAAGACACATCACCGCCTTGCCGGCTAGGCATTTTATACATCACGTGGTGCTCGCTCAAATTTATCTTTTGTTGCACGTCTGAGTTTTTCACTCGTTTCTCCAACTTACACCAACAGATTCCGAGCCAAAATTTCAAAAAGTTACATCGACTGGGAATAAGAATGGTTCTCGGATTTTATTCCCGAGATTTGGGAGATGGTGTTTTTCTTCGATTTTGCGCTCATCTGACCGAAGTCATCATTGGAGGTTCACATTTTAGAAATTTTGTTATAATCACTACTAGGTATGTCAGTATCTGATGTATGAACTGCTTGCGGAAATGTGATTTATGATCCGCAAATACCTAAAAGTATATGTATAAAATCCGACGTCTGAAAAGAAATATGATTATGGTACTTTTGACTTCCTTTTGAAACCGTAACGCCATCAATGGTCTGTACATATCCACTCGCCTCGTCTATATCTCTTGGGACTACCATCCAAATTTCCCAATTTTTGCGGTCGATTCAAACGCTTCGAAGCGCACTGTTTTCATATTTCACGACCTTTGCTGCCCCATTTCCGTTGCTCTCATCATCAGGATGGGTATCGTCTTCCAACAACGTATCCACGCTGGTCTTTTACCAACTCGGTCATCGTCACATAATTTTCCATATTTCGACTTCTCCTCAATCTCCATATCCACTCGCAACCTATCCAACAATTCTTCTCATCTCTTCCTCCCCCCAAATTTCCGTACCTTGCTTTAACGCATGTACCAATATTTGCAACGCATTCTCGTTGAAATCATCCGCTTCACGGATCTTATCCAGATCTTCAGAGAATTCAGTAGTGATACGTTGAAGATAATGAGATGTGAACTTTTCAGCGAGAGCCGAGTCTTTCACTAACGTTGGTTTCTGGAAATAGGTTAACAAAATTCCGAGAAAATTTAGAAGGGGAGTGTAAATTACAGATGGGGCTTTGACTGATGCAGTTGGCGTAGTTTGAGAGATTGATTTGACAGCTGCTGATTGAGCTTTTGGCTTGAGAGATTGAGATTTAGGAGCAGTGTCACTTTCACTGTCGGATATGTTTGTTACTATTTTGATATTAGTACATATATGTGTGGTTTTCATCAAACATGATAATACACATACCTTCAGTTCTCGACTGGCTCTTCTTGCGACGCTTAGGTTTCACGGCTTTGGGCATTTTGGCATCCATCTTCACCGGCACGATATCTTATGTTTACTCGGAAAAGGTTGTTACTTCGACATTTAAGATTTAAGACGACGACTAAAAACGATAGGTTTAACGCACGTGAAAAGCTCGTGAGAAGAAAATATTTAAGTGGGGAATGGGGTGGGGAAAGCATGATGGCGCTTTGCCCTCACGAGCCTCCCCTCCCTACGAATCAATTGCAACCTGGCCAAACACTACATACATGTACATTTGTTTTACGGAATCATATTAAGACAGAATCTGGTGTAAACAGTACAAACTAGGAACTGTCTTGTGATTGCATTTATTAGCAATTTCATGATTCTTTACAATGTACGGGACTTTCTGTGTTTCTGGGGGTTGGAAAGAGAGCACAAACGAAGGAAGTCGCAAGTCGCCAACAAAATTCTTTAAGGTCATTTTTATATTGAACTATAATTCGATATCTAACTTCTAAGCATAGAATCCCGTTTCAGCTGCAAATAGCCGGCCTGTTTTAACGTCTTTCCCGTGCGGAGCAAGTGTAGCTTTGTTCGTATGTATGACAATAACGTTCATAGATCAAATTTACTTTGCAACAGCCACGATGTTCAGACAACAGCAGTCATTTAAAACAAGAGATACCCAAAAAACAAGATACAGCTGGAAGATTTATGCAATCACCTTTGCCAATTTCGCCAATTTGGGATTGTGTGTTTGAGAATCGATTGACTCAACCAGCAAGAGTGAAGCAACATAGTTCCTGAGGAATGTCACTACAATAGATCGGAGAGCGAGTTGATCTGACTCCTTTAAATGGGAATAGATCTCTTCCGCTGCCAAAAACAAGAACAAACTGGTGGCGAGATAAGTTTCCACACCCTCACATCTTACGATGGCCTCTCCTAGATCCATCATCAGGCGCGTGAGAGACTTGTAGATCTTTTGAGGGCCCACACATTCGGCTTCAATCTCAGGCATCTCCAAGTTATTTGCAACTGCGGCCACCGCATTACACATTATTCTCAACGTCTTTGGGTCAATCAAGTCATTCTCCGTGAACGAACTAGAAAAAAGCTGAGGAACCCAAGGCATGAGTAGTTCAATCAGGGGCTTAATTTTTCTCTCGTCCACAATCTTGCGTGCTGGTTTTCGTATCTCTTCGGGGCCATCTTGGTAGAGTTTGCAGTAAGCCGCATTTGTCATACATCATGATACTGGCTAGAGCTGCGGTACATTCCTCTATGCTGCTAAATTCCGCGCCGGAAAAATTGACATTGCGATCGTACTTGTATTTCAAAGGGGTTGGTACGTCCACAAAAGTGTCGTGCCATGCGGATAACCTTTCGTCCTTAAGCTCAAGGGGCTCCAGATCGAGAATAGTGCTCGGATGAGTTGCTTTGAAAAAGTAGTCCACATTCATAAGCGAGCATTAAAATCACCTCAAATAGTCTGAAAAATGACAAGATCACCTACGATAGCAGGACCTTCGTCATGGTAATGCTATGACATTTTTATTGAGTAACTTGCCAAGTATGCGTCAATTCGTGTCGCCGTTCTGAGGCAACTATTCCTGGAACGCTGGACGGAGATTGAAATGCTCAATGAACGTAGGAGCTCTTCTCTACCTTCCCTGCGCTGTTTTCTTGCAAATTGAAAGACATCACATTGTGTGACAGATCTGTGACATGATTACCATTAGTACTGAGACCTTGAGATATTCCTCCATTGGCGGCCTTGGCATTCACACGGCCAATATCTCCTTGTGGCCTCCTCTATTCATCAACTAATGATATAATTGTGAATTTTCTGTGCTTTCTCTATTTCTGAACTCTGTCAGTGCAATGTGGCGGGCTGAGACTAAATTTAATGGATAACCTGCGCAAGTAATCATAAATATGGCAATATGGAAGATAGCTCCCGCTTGAAATCAAGTGGGTTTTGATAATCATGCATTTCCTACGGATAAAGACCCGCAAGTTATGCACTGGTGAGCCAGTACGACAGGCTCGTTTATCGACCAAAATCTACCCCCCTTTTCATCCACGCGTAGGAATGAGATAAAGATGAATTTTCATCACAGAACTTACGGTGCCACTTTCTTACCCCCATAAATTTATTTTACCCAGTAAGTATCGGCGAAATCGTCAAGCAGCTCAACTTTGACCTCTCTGATTCCAAGGCACTACCATCTCTAATCGTTACGGTGTAAGGTATTTTCGGACGATTATCTGAAAGCAAGAAGTGGAAAAGAATGGACGCATTTTATGGAAAAATGATACATTCGTGATCTTTACGCCTTGGTGGGCAGTCTGATCATTTGGGGTTCTTGTTATACCAAAGCTCGTGCAAGAGCTCTAGTAGGCCTCACATGGATCGAAAAGCTCCATCGGTAGCTGTATTGCACTTGGCCCGAAGTAGAGATGAGCTTTTCGGATATTTATTTCCAAATGGTATGTGTTCATAGGTGTTATTTCGATGAAGGGCCTGAAGCTAATGCATATCATCCGCTGTTTCGGGTCCCCACCAAGCGCCTTTAGATGTCACGGAACAAAAATCAAAACCCATTTACTTTCGTATGCACTTCTACTCTCCATTGTTGCGCTCCTCGATCCAAAAACTCTTCGGTGGTTACGATTTACTTGCCGAGCCATCACGAGAAAATTATCCCGGAAACTGCTGCTGACATGTTGAGACGTGCTTGGGTTGAGCTGTTAAAGTCTGAGTCTGAATATAGTTCTCAATACATAATCACCATATTATAAGCTGATATATTAATAGATTTGAAAACTTAAAAATCATTGGCTCAGTTCAAGACTGATTGGATATAACATTCATGTTTTGATACCAAAAATACAAGTGCTTTGTCGTGATAAGTGGTTTCTTTCCCCAGCAGAAGTACTTGTTTCCTCCCCAGACTAACAAATAACCGACCACTAACGGGAGCCGACAATTACATATGATTCCATCGGCATCAAGAGATTAGATAAGGACTAATTGCCGTGACCTTCAGTCCTTCAGCCGCTGTAGCTAGTTTAATCATCGACACCAGAACAACAGGGAGCACCGGTCTAGCTACTTTAGCGATTTTCACCTTCGGCAAACAACAGTAACAAAACCATCACCACTTTTACTCTACTTCTGATAAAAATTTTAGAACTTATGTGAGCTCTTGGGGGGTTACATATCACCGATAAGCTCCCAAGGAGCGAAGTTCATCTGGAAAGTGGTCATCGATTGTTAAAAGGCCGATGGACTTGATCCAGTTAGACTAAAGTAGTGACAAGAAAAGGTATACAGATCTTAATAGAGTAGTCTAGGCTCGTGTAGGGCTGATTTAACTGATCATGAATAAGAGAATAGAAACTGAAGGAAGAGTTGGGGAACGAATCAAATAGTGTTTAATGTAATTTAAGTTACAATAGATCTACTCAAGGGTTACCAGGGCATATGATTAGCTCCTATGAATCATCGAGATTCATTATTACTTACTTTAAACTTCGTGTCGAATCATCATACCCCGAAGAATTACTATTTTTGTCTTCGATCTATATTGACATTGAGTTATTTACTGTTTGTATGACCAGACTACAGATGATGTAGAGCCTGCTATGTAGGTTCTAATTACCAAGGCTGTATCCTATTTAGGGAGCAGAATTGGTTACAGGAAGAAGCAATCCTTACCTACATACCTGTACAACCGGCTACGAGCCTAGCGCACTCGCTAGATCTTACAATATAGTAGGCGTGACCTAACGTCATTACACTCACTACCTACCTTGGTATTCTTTATATACTTATTTCATTGTTGCCTGACATATCTGATATTATTCATTTATTACTTAAAAAATGTTTCGAAATTGAATTTTGTTTCAACTTCTAATAGGCGACGACGAGAGCTAAAATGTGACAACGAGGACTATGCGCAGGTATATGCTCTAATTCTGATCTCGCAGCCTTTGGTCTGTGTGGGACCAACCAGGTCATTTTGCTCACACAATTCAACCTTATATTGTAGTGTAGGGAAACAAATACTAGAGATAGAGGAGGACGCCTTCAAATGGAATGATCTCCAGATCCGGGTCGTCCATACAATTCAAATTTCTGGATGTTTACACACACACCTGAAACACATAGTCTCCGATTCGCATCTGGTTACCGAGCCGTAAGCTGTCAGGGGATGTGCATGAAATAAGTGGGTCCAGGCTGCACGATTACTCTAATAGCATTTATTGAGGGTTCACAGCTTATCTGGTGAGAGGAGAGACCACTCTGCAGCTGCAGCATTGAGGCGGATTCCGAGAAGCCTTGCCTAATGTGGTATACCCAAATAAGCAGATTGATATTCATACATCAACATGACAACTTGGTATCTGGAATCATTCATCCCTTCTCCAGCCGTAGCTACTCTGGCGCGCTTTAATCATAATATTTTTGACCTCCTCATTACCATTAGGTCACAAGTCTATTGAGTACATGGAACACCTTCCCGTCATGAATTTATTTTGGCACAAGAATGCCTTGAATTTCGAACCTACTTTTTATGAGGCATTTCTCGCAAGACAATCTCGTAAAGTCTTCAGACGTTGTCAATGTCATGTCTGCAATATGTGCCGTAGTATTTATCTTGTTTTTGCCTGCCAAAATTTGGCAGCTGCGTGCTTCTCGCGCAAAAAAATGTCTTGAGATGGCAAGGACGCTTAAAAGCAGTCAGTACTCGTCTCCTTTCTATAGCCTAACTCACAATACCAATAACGACCATAGACCCTTGCGATAATGTTGTCTTTTCTTCTACTGGCTTATGTTGTTGCCGTACATGCGAAGCGTGAATTCTTCTCGTTATCTCTCTACTAGCTTCATCAGGTGCTGCATTTGGGTTGAGTCTGCTTTTGATGCTTGAGATCAAGCGATCTCTGAAGCCGTCAGATTTAGCTGTTCTTTATCTTGTGCCATCAATCATATGCGATGTTCTTTTTCTTACAATTCCCCCGAAAGTTTGGGCATTTTCTAGAGCCTCACAGCCAGTACTTGCTCGATGTATCATACACTCAGCTCTTTTAGTACTCGAGAGCTGTGATGAACGCCCTTCACTTAGCAACTCTAGCAATCTTCAATCCCCAGAAGAATCATATAGCGTGCTGAATAGGGTGCTATACACTTGGATAAACCCCATCTTATTTCAAGGATACACAAGTATTCTCATTGACCAAGATTTGCCACCTCTCAGTCAAGATATGAAGCCAGAGTTCACAAGGAAGGCAATGCTTCAAACATGGTCCCGTCGAGGTTAGTCGAGATACTCAAAGTAATTGTTTTCTTTCTTCTCACAAAACTAGCCAAGCCCGAGACAAAGTATAGCCTACCTTTGGCGTTGATGAGATGCTTGAAGCACCCTTTTTTGGCTGCCGTCGTACCGCGACTATCCTTGATCGCCTTTCGGTATTATCAACCCCTCTTAATAAAAGAGTCCATCGAATATGTCGTGGCCCATCCTATCGAAGAAGAAAGTAGCCGTGGTTTTTGGCTTGTTGTATCGGCCGTGGCTATTTACGTTGGCCTTGCTGTAAGTGCCAGTCTCTGTTCTCCTTTCACACGCTAATACGCTCAGTTATCAACAGCTGTGTACCAGCACCGCATAAATAGATTGAAGCTCATTACCAGAGGGGCTCTTGTGGGGTTAATCCATGCAAAGACTATGGAGTCTCCCAGCATTGCTTATGACAATGGCGAGGCGACCACACTTATGAGTACAGATGCAGATAGTCTGGAAGGAATCGTTGAAATGGTTCACGAGACGTGGGCTCAAGTTATTGAAGTTTTCATAGGTGTAGGGCTTCTCGCTATCCAAGTTGGCTGGATCTGGCCTCTTCCACTTTTCCTTATTTATTGTCAGTACTTTAATCCAATCTCTTGAAATGATGCTAAGTTTGCTAGTATGTTCACACATGAGTCGATTTGTTGCGAAGCATTTACAACCTCGTCAAAAAGCTTGGAATTCTGCAACGCAAAGCCGTATAGGAGCTACCAGTTCATTGATAAGTTCCATGAAGGTCGTTAAGATGATTGGACTCCAACATAATCTTACCCACCGAGTGCAGCAACTTCGAAAAGAAGAACTATGGGTGGCCTCGAAGCTTCGATGGGTCATGGTATATTACAACGCATCCGGTTAGTCAACAGTGATGTATAAGTCCTGATATGTACATTTTACTAACGAGAATGTAGCCAATGCACTGGGAATATTTTCCCCAGCGATTACACTGGCTCTATTTGCCGTTATATCACAGGCCAATGGAGTTAAGCTGGATCCCACGACTGCATTCCCAACCATGGCAATCTTGAGTATGATTACCCACCCAGCAAATATGGTCATGACAATTGTACCGCGTGTAGTGGCGGCTTTTGCTGGGTTTGAAAGAATTCAATCGTTCTTGCTCCGCCCATCTTTACAAAACAATCGTGGAGTATTGCCGAGACTTACTCAAAATGAAGTAGCATCTAACCATCCCACAAAACCAGTCTCGCAATTCAAATTCAACAGTTGAGAATAGGTGATAAACAGACAATTCTTGACAATATCAACATAGAAGTGCGCGCAAAATCTTTCGTTATAATCTCGGGTCCCACCGGTTGCGGTAAATCAACTTTATTGCGCACTATAATTGGAGAAGTAATACCTGCCCGGGGATCAATTTCTTTATCAACAAAAAAGATAGCATACTGTGCTCAAAGACCCTGGCTACCAAGCGGTAGTATCAAAGAAGTTATTTACGGTGCTAATGATATAGATGGAGCTATTAATCAAGAAAATGAGGAATGGTACAATACTGTTACAGAAATGTGTTGTCTCACTCATGATTTCGATACCTTGCCAGATGGGGATAAGACACAAATTGGTAGCAGAGGACTCAATTTGTCTGGAGGTCAAAAACAGCGTGTGGTATGTTCCCAAAAACGACAAGGTAGGTATGCACGAAACTAACAACTGTAGACACTAGCACGCGCATTATTCTCAAGGTCGGACATATTATTACTAGATGACACTTTTAGTGGGTTAGATGGTGATACTGAGCGAATCATATTTGATAACTTATTCGGATCCAGTGGTCTAGTAAAGCGGTTGAAGATTACTGTCATACTAGTTCTAATTCTAGTGAGTTCCCTTTGGCTTTACATCAGCTCAAGTTCTTACCGTATAATAGCTCAGTACTTTCAATCAGCAGATCATGTCGTTGTTCTGGGGTACCATGGAATCACAGATCAAGGTAGTTCGCAAAGTATCAAAATCAAAGCTGGCTCTATAGCAAAGTTCTCTTCTGGGAACCACGTCAAAGATAACGCCGCAGTGGCAGCAGCTTTTGCAAGACTTAGCACCCAGGTTCGAGCAAAAGACGAAGCTAAAATTGACCTTGCAAGACGGAGCGGAGACGCGGCTCTGTATGGTAAGCCTCTTCCTTCTTTAACAGCGTTGAAAATGAAATTGATATAAGCGTAGGATACTATCTAAACTTTGTCGGCTCAAAGAATCTTTTTCTCCTTATCGCCTGTACAGCAGCATATGCCTTCTTCATTACCATCCCCCAATACTATTTACAGTTTTGGACCGAGTCAGATGGTGGAAATACACTATTTTGGGTCCTTGGATTTTTGTTCCTATCATTCATGTCATGGATCACGACAAGCATTCAGATGTGGTAAGTTCCTTGCAAACTTCTATGAGCTTGTGGTTGTTGAACACGTCCTAGGGTCGTTCTCATACAATTGGCATCGCAATCTGGATTCCGAATACACGAACGACTGTTACATATCGTAACGAGGTCAGTGCCCCTTCTCTACAGAAGATGATCGGATATTATAGGAGAGACTGATGATTATTAGCGCATCCTTGTCGTTTTTCTCCCAGACCGGCAATGGTTCCATATTGAATAGGTTCAGTCAAGATATCCAGCTAGTGGACAAGCAGTTGCCACCAGCCCTTCAAACCATTATAACTCGTAAGACTACCATCGAACTTTCTATTCTCAAATTGTCTGAAGCTTTCTAACAAATGCAGAGATTTTCAAGCTCCTGATGCAAGTCATACTACTTTTCGTTGCCCAGAAGTGGCTCACAGTATCCCTACCAGCTTGTGTGCTTGTTGTCTACGTCGTCCAAAAAGTCTATCTCCGAACATCTAGGCAACTTCGTTTCCTAGAGCTAGAGGCTAGGGCAGGGGTTTTCTCGAGTTTCTTAGAATCTGTATGTATGATCTTCGCACAACGAATATTCCTCTTGCTGATAAATGTAGGTCGAGGGTCTCGAAACAATACGCTCATTTGGCTGGTCAAATGCAGTAATAGAAGATAATATCACAAGTGTGGACAACGCTCAGCGTCCCGAATTTCTCCTTCTGTGTCTTCAGAGATGGCTCAATGTCGTCCTGGATCTTCTAGCAGCTGCTGTCGCGACCAGTGTTATCGCTTTAGCAGTAGCATATCGCGATCGTGTCAGTGGTGCACAAGTTGGAATCGCGCTCAATATTATGCTTGTGGCAAACACAACCTTACTGAAGCTCGTAGAGAGCTGGACGACATTAGAAATCTCTCTTGGGGCGATTGCTCGCTTGAGGACACTTGAACATATGACACCTCTTGAGGGTGGAATGGCTCAGACCTTGGAGCCTGTGGAATCCTGGCCGTCAAAAGGGAATGTTGAGTTCAAGAATATCACTGCATCTTACCTGTATGTAGTCCCAGTGAGTTCTTAAATCTGCTAGCTAACTAGAGCAATACTTAGATCAAACTCAGCAGCTCTCAAAAACCTAAGTCTGAGTATCACCTCAGGCCAGAAGATTATCGTCTGTGGACGTACAGGCAGGTTCGTGATTCCACTTCACCAAATTCACCACAAGCTAACTTTCAAATTAGTGGCAAAAGCACTCTTCTCTTGACGCTCCTACGACTTCTTGAGTTACAATCTGGCCAGATCATGCTAGACGACGTTGACATCAAGAAAGTTGGGCTTGAAATTCTTCGACAACGTTGTTTCATCACCGTCTCGCAAGATCCATTACTTCTATCAAACGAAACCTTACGGTTCAATTTAGATCCAGATACCTCATTATCCAACGAAACTTTAATCGCCTCGTTAAAAAGAACAGAGCTCTGGTCCTTTCTACAAGGAGCAGCTGGAACAGACGATATCTCGGGAACAGCATCAGACACCACACCATACAACTATCACCCGATTCTCGACAAATCCCTCTCATTATTCCCCGAGCTATCAGTCGGCCAAGGCCAACTCCTTGCACTCTGTCGCGCTCTTGTCAAAGCCCAGACAGCTCAACATCTTGGTCGCAAACCCGTCGTGTTGTTAGATGAAGGGACTTCTTCTCTAGACCCCGTTACCGAATCAATCATCCACGGTATTATCGACGATGAGTTTACCCAAAAAGGACATACGGTTATATGTGTAGCGCATCGAATTGAAGTATTAGCGAAGCATACAGAGTCTGGAAGAGTAGTGGTGGTATTATTGAGTAATGGGAGATTGCAGGAAGTTATTACGGATCTGAATCCGGGGACATTAGAAAGACTTGGGAGATTAGACTGAACGGTTTTTCTTGCCATGATGCTTGAGATTGGAGGGAAAAGTTTTTGTTGCTATTCTTAAGAGTAGATGAGCTATGTCAGTTTGGATACTACTCAAGTAGTGGAAATCCAAATTTAGAACTTCAGAGTCTCTTTAGTCTAACCGATCAGGAAGATGTTTTTGACCTTAAGATTGATATTATCCTATCACTTCCATCAACATATCTCAACCAAAAACCCATCTAGATCGTATCATAAATTCTCTCTTATATTATATATCTATATATCCATACTCCTTTAATCAAAAATTAAAAATATAATATATATCAAACTCAAAAAAAAAAAAACTAATTACAACAAACTTTGTATTTATAAATATTAAAGATTATCTTTTATATATCCAAATTATAATACATACAATCCATCTCATCTCCTTTCCCCTCATCTCCCCTTCCCTCTCCTCCCCTCCCCTCTATTAATACATCTCAATACAAAACTCGTTTAGATCATATTATAAATTCTCTCTTATAATAAATATCCATACATCTATACATTCATACATCTATATATCCATACATCCATACTCCTTCAACCCAAGATCCAAGATTCAACACACACCAGCTCAAAAAAGAGCAAACTAACTACAACAAGCTTCGTATTTATAGATATTAAGATTATTTTTCATATATACAGTATATAAATACCTATATGCACCCACCCATCTCCTCAATCTAAACAACCATCTCCTTTCCCTTCCCTTCCCCCTCTCCCTCCCCTTCCCTCCCCTCCCCTCCCTCCATCACCAAAAACTTAAAACTCAAAACTTAAAACCTAAAAACCAATCACCACCCACCTAATCATCAAACCACTCACAGCACACCCCCCCCTCCCCCAACCCATCCCTCTACCCATACCCCCCCTACCCTACCACCCCCCACAAATCCACACCAACAAACCACCTCTCCCTCCCCCCCAAGATCCTCAAACCCATCCATCCATCCATTCACGCACAACACGCAACTTTCCCCCACAACACAACCAACAAACACAAGTGTCATACTTCGGCTTTGTAAATAACCGAGTGAGATTATATCATATCATCTACATAAACAATGCGTTTCATGATCAATTATGTTCTGTCCCTTGCCTAGTCCCAAATTTTCGTCAAAACCATATTTACCTACTTTCACTGCAACTGAAATTCCCTTGCAAAAAAGCGAGAGAGAAAAGGTATCACAATCACTAAGCAAAAATACCAAAAACATTCAAAACACTCCTAATTTCTTAATAACAAAATATCATTCTGGTATAGTATGTGTATGTGTGTATTGTATACCCCAACTGTATATTCAAATTCTTCCTTTAATCTCCGCTCTCCACTCTCTACTCCGTGCTCACTTCTACCCTCCGCTCCCACTCCCACCCCACTCCCACTCCACTCCTAGTCCCACCCCGCCCTCTCCGCTTCTTCCCTCTGCTCTCTATCCCCAACCACACAATTTCCACAACCAACCAGAAGGAATCGTCTATGTTATGTGCTCAAAATATAAGTTCCCCGAACCCCGTATCCGACAAAGTAACGAACTAAAGCAACGAATCCCACATCGCCATCTCCTTTCCCTTCTTCTCCCATTCATGTATGTGATGTAATAATGTATGTGTATACGTATCAAGTATCGAGAGTATCAACAAAGAGCTATCTCGTTTCCTTTAGTATCATCCAAGACCACTCCAGTTACCAGAAAGAAAGAAAAATGTTATCTCATCCGGAGCATGAATTCTAAGCACCTGTGACTTCATTCTCCTTCAAATCCCATTCTCCCTGCTGTAACATGTGTAGAACCTCTTTTCCATCGGCCGTCAAATCCGGTTTACCTAAAGGTGTAACCGAACCTGTGAAGAATCTCGGTTGCCAATCAACGCCTTGTTCTTGTCGTTGTTTAGCTTTCTCTCTTTGCCTTTCTTCTAATTCTTGTTTGAGGGCTGTTGCCCGGGCAAATTGTCGACCGTGAATGGCTTCTGTGACGCCTGACCAGAACTTGAGAGATTCATTTGGTAGCTGTTTTTCTGTTGGCGGGATGATCTTTGGTGCTACTTGAAGAGGCGCGAGATCTATCAGGAGAATTTGATTGTCCTAATAACGTCCAGTCAGTAGCTGTCGTCTGATTTTATGAAATGGGATACTTACGCCCTTCGGCCCCAAACTGAAGTATAGCTTGTCCTTCCAATTTCCAGATACCCTTGCTAATATATCTTTATCAGGAACATCTTTGATCCTAGTCTTATTATCATTGTCTGGATCGTAGCGGAAGACAACTCCCTCCACTTTGTTCTGCGTTTTCCCTAACCATCCCTCTTCAACATAATGTAAGATTGTCTTGATCTTCGTCTGAGCGCAACTGATGTAGCACTGGTCTCCTACGGTAACACTTAAAGTTCCACGCAAAAGCCCCCCAAGATGGGCAGCTGGATGTGTGAGCTGGTATTGCTCGTTGTCTCTCCTCTCAATATTAATGAAGATACCCAAATTGTGCTCCCCTGGTGTAACCTTGATACTCGTTCCAGTGAACTTTGCCGATATTTGATCGAAACCCCGGGCCGAGATACCCTTTTCCGGACAATCGACATAAAATGCGGAGACGGGTGGATGATGCGAAGTTTGTTCCGTCAAATACGATACTCGAACTTTTTTGCCCGATTTCGGCTTAGGAATTGTGACATTCGACGCATTGGTCGATGACATAGGAGTAGCCTTCTTCGAAGAGGAAGCACTCGTCGTGCTTAATTTTCCCGTCTCTATAGCCGGTTGCGAATCTTCGACTTCCCAATTACACTGTTCGAGAGATCAGTATTCCCCACTTCGACCTTTCCATTTAGCTGCAGCTGCTTACCCTAAAAAATTCCCCAAGAGTAGAATTGTATGGCTTGCAAGGCTTTCCTTTCACATATTTCAGATCCTTCGTAAACCAAAATCGCATGACTTCCAACATTCTATCTAATGGATCATCCGAGTCTCCTATTGCCACAAATGTATTCGGTTGATCGAGGTAATTCCAATACTCGAGATTGGGCGTTGGTTCTAACAGCTGGGCCGGCAAACTAAATCGAACGGAAGCAATATCTGCCACTCCAATAAACCTATGAGAAAAGAGAAAGAAATGTCAGTCATGACCATCCGAAACGTATGGATATCTGCGAAATGTCCACAGGTTGCTTGAGAGGCTGAAGCCACATTTTGTTGCATTGATAGCGGTGTGGTTTTTGTGAACATCTCCTAGCAAAGATGCGCAGAAATACATCAACTTACTTTCGCAGAATTCCCAAGAACATCTTAAGTTTTGAGCCATCATCTGGTGGTTTCTCCGCTACCGCGGAGGATGTAGGTAACGACTCGGAGGCAGTTGAGGGGGCCGTCGATGCAGCAGGTGAAGGATTAAATGCGGAGGAACCCGAGGATGTAGATGCCATATTTGAAGATGCGGATTAAATAACAATTAGAGAATCTTATATTATTCTGGTATGTCGAGCAGAGACTTGAAGGGAGGAAATGATTTTCAAATTTGGTGATTGAAGGTTGGTTGGTTGTACAGCAGGTGGATGTTTAAGATGGAGAAATCCTTGGTACGGGAGTGACGTTTATTTTAGGGGCCTTACGATAAGGAGCCGATAGGGTGAAATGATCACAACAGGTGCAACATCTAAAAGGAAAGATTGGTGCGTTTAAATCTCGCAAATTCGAGGATATGAACTTCTGAAGTAACTGAATATTTGAAGAAACAACAAGAAGACAGATTGATATGACACTTTCGTGTTGATCATCTACACGATTAACCGTGCGAAATTGAAACCAAATTATCGAATATATCAAACCAAAGTTTTTTCTTCCTGTACGCCATGACTCCCGCTCGGTTATTACCTTCTAGTCATTAATTCGAGAACAACATCTTGCCATCTAATTCAATTTCAATACATTAATCATGTTCAGTTTTTGGATAATTCACAACATCTACATCATATGAGTCTTCTCCGTAGAAAAAAGTGTTAAGCAGAAACTGTTCCTCTTCCATCTAGATGAAGTCTTCATTGCTCACAGTTCCCAAACCCTCGTAATGAGCCCTGGTGACCCCCCAAAACTGTGCCGCCTGGAGTCCAAATGACTTCATAACGAGACTTACATGTTTTAGACTGCTTTCGAGATCTGTATCGAGAATTTGAGCTTCCTAGTATCAGCAGCCATAGATGATTTGTACCACATTCTTGAAATTGCCATTTACTGTCACCGTTCTCGAAACTTATAGAGTCCCTTACCTATTTAGTATTTGCTGGACATCTTTCTTACGTATTTCCCCGGTTCGGGAAGTTCTTGAATTCAACCGCGAGCGGATTTGTAAAGAACTCTCGTAATGAGGTTGACCTACCCCATCGTTCTCTCCTATAGTAGATTATTATGCATGTTAGTTCACGTTGACTAAACTGTATCAAGCGGCCAACTCCAAGATTTAATTTGCAAGTGGACCTCCAAGCTCCGGGTATTTCGACTTGGGTTAAGTATGCAGCCCAGTTGAATCAAGGGTCACTATATTGTAACCGGCCGCAAAGCAGTTCCTAGATGTGACCACCTGGCTCTTTGCGCGTGACTGTCATTGAGTAGGCCCGTTAGTTGGACAGGGAAAATAGTCGGCTGAAGGGAGAGATATATTCCGTCACTTCCACGTATATAGAAGGAGGGCTCGAATGAAAGAATCAAGCTGTTGCTACTTGATAATATCCTCGACTTTCATGACCGTCTGAGAAATTGCAAGTGAGGAAGTTGCAACATTAATTCATCACCCGGCAGTCAAAGAAAACGATGTAGATAGTTCAAAAGAAGAAGAAAGAAAGAAAGGATATAACGCCTCTATATCTAGTGATGATAGGGAGATGAAGGCTTCTCAGCCTTCTAGAGTGTAGTTAGGGAGCGAAATGTTCTTGATGCCATGAAAAATGAAAAACGTGTGTTAAGTTCCTATGTATAATTTGGACCGTTTGGAATTTTCGATTCTTGAAAGTTGAAAGTCCATTCATAAATATCAACAGTATTTCCAGTACTCGCAGCTCTTATTTGGACTGCACTCCGGACTATTGACACCTTGACAAAAAGTAAAGTAACTCAGTCTGAAACAAAGTGGTTCTGAAACGCCAGCTTGCCAAATGCCAAGCAAATTCATAAAAACAGGTAGTTGGGGATATACTAAACTCGCTCGCGGGCCGTCCCTCTTTGTAGCTACTCGATCAAACTAACAACGGCAATAGAACATTGTAATGAATGCATTGTTAAGTCTTGTCAAGAGACCAATGTTTTCGTTTCATTCTCTTCTCAGATTTCTCATAGATGAAACCCAGACAGCTTTCAGAGGAAATCCCATTCGAGGATGGCCCGAGCACATGTTCGAGGCCCAGTGTCTGACTATAAACGTACCAGGGCTGGGGAAGGGGAAGAGTTCTTGTGTTCCGAGTTCTATCATTGAAAAAGATAACAGATCTCGTACGATGTTTGAAGCTTGGACTCTGGCTATAATCAAAGAAAAGATAATTCCCAGTCTTGGAGAGTAATACTGTATATTGCTTTCTTCTGAGTATATTGACTCAGATGAGATGTAATGCGAACATAGAGGAAGTTCCTCCACCCTCCCGCCACCGGATTCCACCCACGCAAGAGACTTCCTGTTCCGAGTCCCGATTCCCAAGCAAACAACATGGACTCGTATGATCCTAAAGCCTGGGCTGTTACCTCTATTCAAGATGATTCGACAACACTTCCTATGCAAACTATTGCCAAGAATCAGAATTCGGGGTCTAAAAACATGCAACCCAACCGACTTGTGCCGATTTTCCGTCCATACATCGTGACTGTCTGCAGTGTCACCAAATGACAACAGCGATGTTCATCATGTACTTTGATCTGGGCTCATTAACTACTAAGGCCACACATAGAATGTCAATGATGTATGCAAAGTCCCTTTCTCGGTGAAGCCGAAAGTCGTGTTGATCAAATTCAGGTATTACGGATGATAGAAAAGATTGATAACGGCGCTGGTAAGAGTAAGAGTAAGACCGCAGGGTCCTCCACAGTCTTACAAGAGAACACATTGGGAGTCATTAGCATTGCAGTAGAAGGCTCGTGGAAGCATCCGTATCGCAACTTGGAACCAATTTTCTACGGATAAAATAATTCCTTAACAAATAGTTTATATGTTTTTTGTATTGAGTAATGGCTTTGATTGTAACCTCCGCGATTTAGATTTAGGATATTGATGTGGGCGAACGACCAATCACATCGATGTAAGAGTTCTGGAACCTACTTACCGCACCCCTGTGACAAATGTGACAAAATCCCTGCAAAATTCATGTTTTTCTATATAAACTAAAATACTATATAATTAGTTCAATTATTGATATTAAATTACAAAAACTTTATAGTGAATAATATAAATTATTATTTATATATAAAAATTTCTAATTTATTTTTAAATATTTTTATTAAAAAGTTATATAAGTTTTTAGTTAAAAAAGTTCAGAATTTTTAACTTGTAACGCTTTTCCCATACAAAATAAGCGAATTTTTCGAAATTTTTCAAATTTTCAACTTTAACTCTTCAAAAATATTACTATAAAAATATTTAAAAATAAATGATATATTTTTTTGAGTAATTTAAATAATCTAAATCTTTCTATAATAATATATTCAATTTTATCTCATATATTTATAAATAAATCAGGGTATAAAAAACTAAATAATTGTATATTTTAGCTGGAAAGCGTTACATGTGCGGTGAGTAGGTTCCAGAACTCTTAGCATCGGGTAAATGTTATGAAAAATCCTTGTGCACACAACGCAATAACAATCTTCCCAAACACTTTTGAAGGGTATGCACATCCGAGGTGCTCCATTAGACAAGCATTGTTGACGTCATTTATATGGGTCCCCACTTCAGAAAGTTCAATGGGCGGAACAGCGGATAAGACGAGGTGAAAATCCTCTCTTATTCAGGAATTAGATATTGATGACATCGAAGATCCGTAATACATAAATAAACAAATCTCCAAAAATAAGATGAAAGGATGAAAAAAACTTCGGTTCAGGTGGGATTTGTAGTAATAGGAATCCATTTTGATCAATCTATGTGCCATTTGTACTCCGTACTGTGCTTTGTTTTATATTGTTATATGTTGTTGTGAGCGATGATCTCATGGCTGACAAGTAATAGGTACCAAGATACTGTTGACGGGAGCACTTTTGCCTTGTATATCGGTGACAATGTGATTATTGGCGATAATGCTGTTTCTCGAATCTCGACGTGGCAATTTGACTGCTGAAAAGAGTTTGTTACGAAAATGACAGCGGAACGTTCCTTCTCTGGAGAACATCCTCGAGGCTTGAGTATTCTAGATGTCGAGAATTGTTCAAGTACCCACTGCTATAGGGCAAATGTCTTGAAAACCTACCCTGGTCATAATTAAAGGCGGCTTGTGGCTGAAATCTTTCTACCCACCGCCACCAGCGGTGTAGTGGTAAATCGTGTCCGTGGAAAAGATTGATGGCTTGAAAATTCAAACCGGCAGATGCATCGCACTCAATCACTTGATATCGGTACCTTCGGTACCTTTGATCGACTAGATGCAGTATCGACAATTTGACGCTACTTTGAGAGTGAACAACTCATATCGCAGGAAGGAGATAACATGGGGACGGATATTCTTCGCGAAGCTTCCACAGCTCGACGTCTTAAGCGAAAGCTGCATCTAGATCTAGATTGTGGTAGATGGTGCGCGCTGTGTTTGACTTTCTCTTATACAATAAAATACATCTGGTCGGGAAACCTCGGATCACTATGCTGCCCGTGCATATCCGTGTGAACCTGCTTGCAAGAGTGTATATAGCATATATGCCTACCGGTATGTCGTAAAGTCAACAATCCACGATTATAGAATGGCCAGATGTCGCGCATAGAGAATTGGCAAAGTCAAGAGGCTGAAAAGGATAAGGGCGGGATGTACCGATTAGACAGACGCTTACGTAGTCTAATCAAGCCGTAGCTGTGAGATGTATCACGTTGGCGTTCTGAGGTAGGTTAGATGCTGATTCCGTTTCATGCAAGTGCAGCACTTATTAGGCCGTTCACTTTTTGTGCTCGGCTCCATGCTTGACACCAAGCCAGCGGTGCACGGGAATCGAACTAAAATTTAGTGGTATCGTATGGAGATTGAAGAGAAAACGGTAATTATGGTTTGGATGAGGGCACAACAAGGAGGGGTTCGGAGGTTCCGAGGTAAAAAGAAATTGAAATGTATTAAGACCATCAAGGATAGAAGGAAGAGCAGCCAAAGAAACTCGAGAGTCGAACGTAATCTCAATGAAGGGTATTCATTTGTGGATGCGGGTGAAAGCTGCTAGGAAGACATTAAAATATCCCGGAGAAAGATTACTGATCGGTTACGCCACAGCTATACGCCACATGGCTCGATAATGGTGCCATCTATACCTCTGATTCGTACATATGGATGGATGCCTTTGTCCGAGAGCGTCATGGAGCTAATGTGATAGCTGTGGCTGTGCGCACGAGAACGAAGGTCACATTTCCCCCTCGATTGTCATAATCCAATGAGAAGCAGTAAAATTCATTCAACTGCAGTAGACTAGGCTTTTGCCAGTTGAACTTGTAGACGCTTGAATAGCCTATGAGAGCTCGTATCTAAGGATGATCGAAACACGCCCCATTATCCCATTATCCCATCATCCCATTATCTCATTATCTCATTATCTCACTAGCAGATTGTAGCTAGGTTAATGCTGTATGCAGTCAAGTCTGGGCTCTGGAGCATATGAACGTATGGAGAAAATGAATTCTGAGCCGCGGCAGGTGACACGAGAGTATGCAAGCATCTGTTAACAGCTAGGTAAGCTTTTCTTCACACTGAGCAATCAAGACAGCACACCCTGAAAATCTTCCCAGCACCGAAACGATACCTGACCTATATCAGCGTCAGCCTATGATGTATTACGCGAATTATGATTAATGTGTTGTGTTGCCGTTGAGCCATATTTCCCTGGAGATCATAATGTCTAAAGCGTCTAAGATCATAAGGCATGAAGCTTGCACCTCATCTCCGGTGCGATAGGTTGATGGATCTGCCACAACGCCACTAAGGAGAAGTCTTTTGGTACTAGAGTTTCGGCTCTGTAAACTTCCCGTTGATCGACTTGTGGCTCGTACGGCTCGCTAGAGGAGTTTGAGTTCCTTTGGTTTCCTCTTCTATGCAGGAGAGATCGTGGCTGTGGCTATGCAAAAACTCTACGGAAAGGTTATCTGGAACAGTCCAGACTGAAAAGATGATTAAAACCAATGGGGTGGACGCAAGAAGACAAAGAGATTGACAGAATGATTTGTTTGGCTGAAGCGCCTGCAAGTCCCAGAAGTGGAAACAACGTAGGTAGAAGGAAGAATTCCCCGCGCGGCCTGGAAATGGACAAAGTGGCACCCAAATCTGGCAAGCAACACACTAGAACTTTAGAGCCCCGGGCTCGAACTTTCTTTCCCCAATTCTTGAGATTAAGGACTGTTGAAAGGGTTAAATTTGTCAAATCCATCTACGGTGATAGGATCGCAACAGTTAGATGCTCCGAAAGCACGTATTCATATGATCTAACGAGAGAACCAAGACGAAGCAAATGCCTTATTATGATTATGGTGATAGAGTATAAAATGCAATAAGATGCGAGGATGCGAGTAAGCAATATAAAAGACATTGGCTAGGTTTGAACCAATTTGATGGTCGTGGACTAATGGTACGAGCGAGCTCACTTGGGGTAAAGAATCAAAAGGTAAAAAGGGGCCGATCTCCGAAAGCAGAAATCTCTCCAGATTTTCGATATGTAGACGCTCTTTGCAGGTGGGATCAGGATCGGAAAATAATGTCACGTTCCGTTGCGACACAATTTACACGGATATGAAGCTGAATTGGGCTTAGCCTTGATTCTCCATTGGGACCGAGAAGAATAATGATACCCAGCATCCGGTACCCAGGTAAGATATTTCATTGACCGTAATGATTGTGATCTCAGCAGAGTGCGAGAATGCCCGTTCGTCGCAAGCACAAGCCAATGTGGCTTGATACTTTACAAACGGAAAAAAAGATGGCGACCATCTCAAAGAACGAGAAATTGTGATGGGTCGATGATACTTTTCGCCACATTTGAGATTCCATCGATCGAGTGCTGATCCTTTCTTGATTGGATGAGCGACTGTGGCTGATGAGATAGATCGGTGATGAGGGTGAGAATGTTGATGGATGCCGCTTTGACACCATGAAAATACGTCGTCTCTCCACGTCCGAGGACCTCATTAAGGCAAAGCTCCGCCAAATGTACCCAGGTACTCTGTGGATAGAACTTTCTTTAGCCACCCCCAGCAACAAACGACTGACCCAAGGAGTCCAAGTAAAATATAATTTGCATGAAAGATCCCAGCAAAGAAAGAGAAAAAAGAGGATGAGTGAGGTGATTGGGGGGAGGATGTCAATGAGAAAATGACCAGGGATAATAAGGGAAATCAATTTGCTGTATGGGTATGGAGTAATACATTCATTGATTGATTGATTGATTGATTGATTGATTGATTGATTGATTGATTGATGTATTGATTGATGTATTGATTCATTCATTCATTCACTCACTCTCATATTGTCGTTGATCTCGAGGCCAACTGATGATGTGTCCACATTAAGCATGCACATTTCATTCGCGGTACCGTTTACATGGCTTTCGGCTATGGTGCTTCGTAAAGACACTGGGTTGAGACGGAGAACAGAGGACGGCCAAGGGAGATGGAAAGACACGCTACACCGGCTCTTTGTTATTTGCTTTATTGGCACGCCTGAATGTGAATGTGAGAATGCGTTTGATGCGAAGTCGATGTGAGGAGAGATGTACCGTTTAGGTAAAAGTGGTGCTTGGGTCGAAGTAGGTTTGATATGGTTCGGTAGGAAGGAAGGAACTAAGGTGGTAGTAGTGGTGGATCTAGAACTATTGGAGTAGTAATCAGCTGAGGTGCTTTGGCTTGCGATCCTCATTCATTCAAATAGTCTCTGTTCTAATACTCGATCCAGGTCTAGGCACTCTTGCTACTACATTGGAAGGAGCCACAGTGAGTTTGATCAGAGAGGCGCTTAGATGTCGATTGCAAAGAAGTTCATCAGTTATACGATGGTGAAGTCTTCTCGTGGCCACGGATACAAGATGGTTGTGACAATGTCCTCGATAGACGTAGATAGTACAAAGTATGCCCTGCCTAGGTCGGTACATACATACCGGTGGACGTACTAGTGAGTTAAATGATGAGCTGTGTATATTGTATTGTATATTGTATTGTATATTGTATTGTATATTGTATTGTATATTGTGTAGGTTATTTATATTATTGATATTATTGATATTATTTCTCTTGATATTACCATGACTGATATCTTTCCTTTTCGCGTGCCAGTCGGACCCATAGCAAAAGACGTACCAAAATTAATCCATGCAGTCCCATGTCTCCAGTCTATTCTAGGTTTCTATCAAAAAAGAAAAGCAAAGGTTCGAATCAAAGTAGCCTCAAGGAACCTTCCGTTATGCGAATTTTCATAACATGATAAACCCCATCACCCATAAACCCATCACCCATAAACCCATCACCCATAAACCCAGATCCCATAAACCCAGAACCTATAATTCCCCTCTTCCCCTTCCCTTCCACTCCCTTCCCCTTCCCCCCTTCCCACCTTCCCACCTTCCTACCTACCTCCAGCTGCCTCCTACCGAAAACCGACATATGATTCTGCTCATTTTAGAGAAAGCCAATATCATCATTTGATAATATTAAGTAATCAATTACGGTCGATAGTATGAGATATTAAATACTGTACCATCCCTCCCACACAAGACTTCGCACCCGTATCCTCGAAAAGATTATCGTCGTCGCTCTTCCATACAAGATCATATTATCATATCAGATCATATCAGATCATATCAGATCATATCATATCACCTCATCTCAGCTCATCTATCTCATCTCTCTCATATTATACATAGTTTCACTTCAAGAGTCACAAAGTCAATCAATACCTAATAGGTGATAGGTGATTCCCACTAGGTAAACGAGTGAATTCCCATTACGCTCGCTATCCGAACTTTAGCAAATCCCATATGCTTACCCCTCCACTTCTTCCTCAGCTCAATTCTCGACACAACAGTCCACGTATTTAATCATTTGCATTCGACTCTCTTCACAAAGGGAGGGAACTCCTTTACTCTCTCAAATACTCAATAAAAAGAGCTTTGAACAGCTCAACCATCATGACCTCGATGTTTCGCAATAGGTAAGCTGATTCTTCTCTCATTTGCATGTTGCTCTTCGGCTCGGCGCATCGTCTTGCGCTTGGTACATACAGCCACAGCCAACTTGCCTTGAATATTTCGTGGACCAAGCTCACCATATTGAACCAGAAAATCAACTCAAAAACCCGGCGATGAATTCATCACCGACTTTCGAAAACACTTTCCAGAGCTCGTCTCTTCAAATAACCCTTCTGGGAAGCAGATCGATAAGGTAACTGCGCCTACATTTGGGCCTGCGGATGGATCAGGCAGGCAAGTCACCCCAATTTTTCATCACAATCTACACAACTTGCATTGCCTCTGAGTTGTTTTTTTTATACATTTTTTTTTTTTTTTTTTTTTTCATTAAAGCTAAAAAAAAATTAATATCTGTCATTTCCCTCATTGTTCGTGTCTCTGTTCATCGTGTATGTAAACTAATGCATTTGTCAATGTAGACACCACAGCGTAGGAGCTGAAGATACGGGTAAAGAGATACATGATCCGGATCCAACACCTAGAGCCCGAGATGATGCTGCCGCATGGCGATGGACGCCCGGTTTATTGGGATCATCGTCCTCCAACTTTGACTCCAACTCATTCGGATTCCCGTCATCATCCTTTCTCAATGCAGCACCAGGCCCTTATACTTTGACACCGGGAGGAACAAATACTGTATATCATCCTCAAGCTGGAGATCTTCATATGGGTATGGGCATGGGTATGAACATGGGAATGGGCATGGGGATGGGACCTCCTCTTTCAATTCCCACTACTACAGACGGTCTCCATACCGAAACAATGATGGGCATGCCTAGTTTTCCTACCCACGATTTTCATGATTTCAACCCTTTCGCACATTCTCATCATCATCAACCGCAACCGCAGCCAACCTCATACGCGCCATCTTCCTTCATCCATCAGGACACAGGTTACGAAACAATGGACCATGACGGATCTCCCATGGATGATGACGAAGGACCACTTGGTTCAATGGAACGGGTGATGCACCAATCTCCCTTGACATTCCAGCCACACTCGTACGACATGGCTATACCTGGATCAGCTTCCCCATTTGCCGAGAAATTTCGTTTCCAGGCTGTATTGAACGCGCCAACGGCTATGGTTAAAAACTCGCAAGAGATTCCAGTCACATATCTCAACAAAGGACAGGCATATTCAGTCTCTATTTTGGATACTGAAGCGGGCCATGCACTTCAGCCAGGAACTCGTTACCGAACATTTGTACGTATCTCATTCGAAGATGAACAGCAGAGACAACGACCTGCTTCATGTTGGCAGTTATGGAAAGAAGGAAGAGGTACTAACGAGGCTCATCAACGTGGTGGAAAGCTCCAAGCGGTCGAATACGTTGAGTCCACGCAAATTGGCGAAAGTGACGATAAGCGAACGCGCATGGAGCTGGATACGGCTTCTTTTGATGGATTCTCTGTAATCTGGACTCCAGCGGCCAATTGTGTCCCAGAATGCAACATCGCTGTCCGCTTCAACTTTCTTTCCACGGACTTCAGCCACTCAAAGGGAGTCAAGGGTATTCCCGTTCGATTTTGCGCCAAAACTGAAACCCTGTCTTCTGGTTCCCCACATGTTAAGGAGGCTTCTGAGGTAGCTTTCTGCAAGGTAAAGCTCTTCAGAGATCACGGAGCCGAGCGGAAATTATCCAACGATGTTGCACACATCAAAAAGACCATTGAGAAGTTGAAACAACAAATAAATCAGGCAGAGACTGGCATGAAAGATTTTGGGAAGCGAAAGAGAGGCTCAACCGCAAAGGCACAAATGAGTGAGCGACCTGGTAAGGTTCAAAAGCACAAACGTACTTGGTCCATGTCTTCTGCTTCTTCTGCGGGTGGACGAGCTCCGGTCGAAGAGGATCTTCAGGAAAGACTTTTGCAGTACCAAGATATGTTTCAAAGTACACGGCCAACCAGCGTACTTTTCTTGCGTGGTTCGGAACAGGACGACCCCGATCTTTTCCCGGTGGCTTTGGCAGGTGAGCCACTCGACTTGACTAAAGTAAATTCTCGAGACAACGCCACTTGGGCAGCGAGGAGCAGCGCACGTAGCTCGACTACCGGTACCTCTTCTATCATCTCCCCATCGCCAAGCTCAATCTCATTGCACTCCCAAGCTGCTCCGCCCGCGTCTAATCTTTCCACTTGGAATGATTTCCACAATCTTCCACCGGGAGACTCCCAAAATCAGAATCCACAGCATTTAGCGAGCCCGCCAGATCAGCTAACCAAGGTTCCCAAGTCAGACGATACTGGTAGCTTAAGTGGTTGGATTGAGGCTTTGGGAGTTGATCCTTCTTATAATCCACCTGTTGAACAACCTATTAAGCCTGTCGCTTGCTTCTATGTACTCCGTAGAGACCCAGCCCAATCAGCTAAACACGAGTATCACCGAGCTATCTACTTGATGCAACGTTCACTCAAAGATTTCACTAGCGCCATAGCCACGAAATGGAACTTAGAACCTACGAAAATTTCGCGCACTATTCATGTGCTTGAAAACGGTTTACAGGTCGAGATGGATGACGATGTTATACGCGAGCTGTCTGAAGGACAAGACTTTATCCTAGAGGTTCACAACATTCAAGCACCAGTCAAACGCGAATGGGAGATGGAACTCACTGTGGACAGCGACAGTGCTGGCGCGACACAAAGCGTTGTCCACAGCGAAGGATACGAATTGAAGCTATTTTTCTAATCAACCTACTTAATTAACCTTTCCTTTATCACTTGTTTTATTATACCCATAGACCAGGAGGAAATGGTCATGCAATTGTTATGGATCTAAAGATCTAGGATTGGGTCGGGACTGGGCTTGAAGGGCGTCATTGTCGTTTTCTGAGATACCAATTTCCTACATGAAATGTTTTGCTCCAAATCACCTCCAAGACGATCGTGTTTAGGAAAGAAGCATATACATCAATGGAAGATGTTGAGAGACAGATTCGAGATCTGATCTCAAACGGATTGGGAAGGGGTAGAGCGGGGGAGAGCTTTCGTATTTTGTCACATTTGTTTCTATCGGGAGGATCTTTTAAGCGTTTCATTATTCTCTTCACGGCCCCAAAAGCCATACGAACACAATATTTGACGCAGTTATATTTGTACATGGATTTTCACGATGCGAACGAACCATTTCTTTTTCACAGGGTTTGGGGTTAATATTCAGAATTGGTACACAGATGGGCCTCGATGGCAATGGTGGCATGGGTGCACTTTTGTTTAGGACTACCAGCAAACTTTGAGTATACAGTCGCCGTAGTTTCGCCGCATAAAAATGAAAATTCAATTATTCTTTTACTTTCATGTGTTCCCAATAGGTAGTGATCTGCTATGTGGTGACCCGTGAATATGGAATTTTTTCCCGGTAATAATCCGAGTCATGACGGCGCCAAGAAACGTTGGCACTAATGAATTACGAATGCTTTGGCTGGGTAGCTAGGTAATAAGGTAGGGTAGGCATGCATATGGATAATTAAAGTAACAGACTAGGGAGGTTTATTAATAAATGTATGTGCCTATCTTCCGGTAGTCGCAAGTGTGGTTACTAGCCACACTGTACTTAGCCACAGACAGCACTTTGTAGCACATGGAAGGTTTGTAGCACTTTGCTTTGCTTTGCTTTGCTTTGCTTGTGGGTATTTGTTGAGTTGGGTAGGTTGGGTAAGTTGATCTCTGGTTGGAAGATGGGAAATGGGAAATGGGGTTTAGAAAAGGTTTGGCTGAATGGTTTGGATGAATGGTTTGAGGAAGATGGATGGGATGCATGAGACGGGATGTATGAGACGGGGAGGAGATTTAGAGATTTAGAGATTTAGAATTTAGGAAGGGGTTTATTTTCTCCTTCTTTTGGTTGGGGGAGATGAAATGAAATGATGACATGCGGATGGAGGTGATGGAGGTGATGGAGGTGATGGAGGTGATGGAGGTGATGGAGGTGATGGAGGTGATGGAGGTGATGGAGATAAAGGGGAGTAGATATTGGGTGGGAGATGTAGATGTAGGGGTAGGGTTGTGTATCTATTGTATCTATTGTATTTGTATTCTGTATAGGAGCGAGTGTTAGATTCTGGATTCTGGATTCTGGGTTCTGGATTTGGATTCTGGGGATATTTAAGGGGAGGGGGGTTAGGGCTGGGTTGGGGGTGGAAATGCATGAAGATTGGAAGAGAAGGGCTACTGATTTGGAATGGGTGAGATGGAGTGGTAGATGGAGTGATGATATTGGGAATAGTGAGAGTGAGAGTGAAATTATGAGATGTGTGTGCTTAATCGTATGTATGGATGTGAGGGGTGGAAGAGTGGGTGCTTGGGTGCTTGGGAATTTGCGAGCTAGAGAGATATTATGTTGAGGAGATGAGATGGGATCTTGGGGGGAAGGGATGGATTGAGAATTTGAGAATGATCCTGAGATATTAGACTGACTAGATGGGAGATTTGGTTGGGGATGGGGAGTTTTTTTCTTTTCTTTTCATGGTCATTATTATAATGTGGTGTTTATTCGGTATAGGTAGGTAGGTATTGTTATTACTATTGCGTGTTGAACCGGGGCTGGGGAAAGGGTTTACGATTTTCTGGTGCATGGTTGGAGGTGTAGCTTCTAGCTAAGTATATGAAAGTTGATGCCTATTTTTTGAGAAGCTTGGATCGATAGCTAACTATGGTTGATAGGTAGGATGTCCTTTCTCTACTTTGAATAGATATACGTGTTATGGTTTGTAGACGGCACTGCTTGATATTCAGATGGGACTTGAGCACATTTACATTTGAGGTTTATAATCCATAGAGTTGATGTTGGCTTGATGACTGCTACGCAATACTGGCAGTTGTCGGCTGGTACTCTGTATCCCTAACTCTCAAGAGGGAGCTGATTACTCAAGCGAGATTACTCCCGCTTAGAGATTTGAGCCTCATCGTGAGGTGATAAATGGATGAAGCATGATAGGAACTGATGATCATCGCCCTTGCTTGGGATATACTATCTAGAGGTATTTGGAGACGATCACAAGAACATGGGTTCCTCTATCTTGGGAATACGTAGGATCGATGATAGATTCATGTTCCATACGGTTGATAACTATCTCTAGGAACGACTTGACCACTTTTGACAGTTCACTACTCTTCTCTTTAGGTAGATATTGTGCTTTTAAGCTTTCGAGCTTTTAAACTTAATTGTATGTCTGAAATAAGCATTTGCTCTCAACATCTAATCCTGTGTCAAAGCTCAAAAAGATAACTTGAGGGATATCCAAATCTAAACCTAGATGCAAGTGAATGCTTGGTATGGGATAGACTAGTTTTCCCTTCACTTGATTTCATCCAACTGAAAAATCTCAAATTTACAAGCGCGGTTGAGGGATTTTGAATTTGAATCTTGTCAACATAATAAGATTTAGCACTAGCAATACTAATCAAGTGATCAAGCGGTAAATTTAGCAGGTACTGATCCTGCCATACTAACCTATGGCTTGCATATCAAAGCGAACCAGACTAACACAACAAGCTACAATCGCGCAATGCCAATCATGAACTATCGATTGAGTCTATGTTAATTGTGCATTGCGGCTACAGAAGGAAGGACACATATATCGAATTCCAAGACCAGGCGAGCCAGGTAAACTTTAATGAGCGCCGGCGATGAGTGATCTACCAGAAGCTAGGTACTTCGAACGCATACTAGCTATCCGGATTCCTTAGCTCAAATTATCAACAACACAAATAGCAAATTGAAATTCTGCGAAGCCGATCAACTCGTGTAAGCCTACTTTGAGGAATTCGATAATCACCTACCTAGTCGATATTCTCCGATTGGTGTGTATAAAATTTAAGGTTCAGAACAAGAGACGCAAAAAGAGAGGACGTAAAGCCATCCCACGCAAGCCTCAGACACAAGCCGCAGACACAAGCCTCAGATATGTGATTGGATAACCAGGTAGCCCCAATATGCAGCTCATCCATAGTATAGCACCATGTACGTTACCTAGTACGTATATGTAAATGTATATGTATCCTGCAGATCGGTTTGATCCCATGTATAGTTAGCCTGCATGTACCCCAGAAAACCCATAGCAGCCTGATTAGGCCGCCATGGGAAAATTTCTCCCAATTCGCCACCCATCCTCCTTCACAAACAGCACTGCGTCCACATGTAAATTGTGACTGTGAAGGTGGTACAAGCAAGCCTTACTTTCATGGATAAAATACTGATGACGATAACCATCGGTCTAGATGTGGCACATTTTCATCGGCTCCGACGATCAGTGAAGAATGTGCAATACCGCCTCGTACGGATATTGAGCCGATAAGCCTCAGCTGAGCTGGTGCCACGATTTTGGTACCCCTCATCATTGCCATTTTTACACGGCCCTAGACTTGTACTTTTGACATGTGAGATCGCCGTGCGATGTGATAGAATATGCATAAGGCGGGGATGTTTGTTTGCTCGGGTCTTGTAAAAGCGAACTGTGGCTCAAATTTAGAGTTTCCCTTTGATATTTGAGAATATTAGAAAATAATAAAATAATAGATACGACGCCGATTTGTTGCGCGATAAAATTCGAAATCAAAATTCAGCATGCCGATCATGACCCCTATTGTACTTATCCGAGATCAACCATGTTGATCACTACCGAACTCTTTCCTCTCCACGGAGTATTCATATCCCAAGCACAATTCTCAAGCCACAGTTCGGTTCCACTGGTTAGGTAGGTACCTCCAGCTACCTACTATCAGCTAGTTTGTAATGAGCCACATATGGCTGTTCCATGCAAACTTCAAAGACGCTTGTCTTCCTCGGCTATATATGCCGGCGCCATAATACAAATACAAATTTTTTTTTTTTTGATCTGCACTTCTTCATATGAAAGTGTGGCTCAAATTCTCGGTTGCGAGATACACTACTTGTGCAACCAGATCCTTTCTATGTATGCGCCTTGTCGGCACTCAGTGGCGTTGTAGACGACAGTAGGTCTGTGGAGGTAATCACGTGAATAATTGATGCGGAATGGGTTTTCTGTTCCTCATTCTCTCCTGAATATCACGAGAATGGGAAATACTTATCAAACTTTCTGTTTTATCCTAATCATGATCACTGGATTGAGAGGAGTCAACTTCGGCGTTATTTTGATAAATATTTTGATATCAAATCTCCGCGGAGAGTATCCACGAAATGTTCGGCAGTTAACATGGCACTTGACATTTATATGATTGATATGATCGATTGGCGAGGACAGACCGCAGAAAATAAAGTCATGTTTAATAATCCTTATCATAAAATATCCAATAAACAGTACTCCATTCCAAAGATGCCCGCTAATTCTCATGACCTATCCACAAAAACTCCCACCAACGCCGCTCCAAAAGGGCCGTTTATGCAAGGACAATCCCAATCTTAAGATGCAAATTGACTCGAATAGTTCAAACCAGCAACGCAATCCCCTCATACGCCCGTTCTACGATTTTGCTTCCTAGTCCAGGGACAGCTCTGAGCTGCTGTAGAGTTCTGATCTGACCGCCATCATCCTCATTCTGTAGCTCTAGAAACTCGACCACATCTCTAGCCTTCTTGGGACCTACTCCGCAAAGACCTCTGATCATTCCTACATCTCTAGAGTTGACAATATCCAATAGATGTCTTGTTCGAGGTGTGGGGGGATCCAGCAGGCTAAGAGAAGCTTCGTCGTTGAAGACACGCAATTTGGTTGTCGTTTTGGACTTTGTCTTTTTTGACTTGGCGGCTCTGTGTGAGAAGCTATCATCGTCCTCATAATTCTCCTCTTGATTTACAAAGGATGCATCGTACTCGGCATCAGGTTCTGAACTCTTTCTTGATACGGGCCGTACTTCCTCACCCTCTTGCTGAAATGAATTGGCGGGTGTTCGCAGCTGTATAAATGGAGCAGTAGGCTTTCGCATTTCTGAATCTACCGGCACTGGATGCTTGGTTACACCGGTATTCTTTGCTTGAATTTTGCTTTTGAGATGCTCAATCTTCTTGAGCAGTTTCTCTTGGCCTGGGAAGAAAGGAAGTGCCATCCTGATAAGAGTTAGCCAATGTTATTTAGAAGAGATAGATTAGCTGGGCAAACCTACTCATACATCTTGAGAGCGCTGGTCTCTTCACCACGCTCTTTGTGTTGTCTCGCCATAAGCAGAAACCTCAGACCTTCAGATCTCGCATCTTCCGCCGAGTTCTCATCAATCTTCTTTTCCAGTGCCTCGAGTCTTTTCTGAACTGCTTCACTAATCTCAGTGGGTGCGGTTTTCGATGACTGTTCTAAGGCGCGGTTTGCAAGAATTTCCGAGACTTTGCGCTCAACCATTTCCTCAATCTTCGCGGCTGAGATATCAGCTGTGGATGATTTGAACCCTGATGGCACAGGTCTGGCGAGTTTGGCAACCCGTGAGCCGATGACTCCATCTGATGGCCCCTTTTTATTCGAATTCGATCTTCGGAGTGCTGGAGTGCTGCTCGACGGCCGGGCTGTAGTTGCCTTGCTTTTATCTGTATATACAGAGAAAGCTTTTGCAGGCTTGTCAGCCTTTTGTGCTGGGTTGACCACAGTGTTATGCGAATTCGTGATGGGTCTCAACGGCTGTCGTTGCATACTAGCTCCGGCCGGTTTCCTGGGTGGCTGCGTGAATACAACTTCATTCTCAATTTCCCTGACCTCTATTCTCTTTGCTCTTGAACTTACGTTCAAGGAAGACAAAGTATCCAAATGGTAAGAACGCAATGGTGCAAGGTTCAAAACCATTATAGTGATACCATTATTCTGACCCAGACTGAGAATTCGTGTCATTTTAGATTCTCGATATGGAATTCTCTTGTCGCCTCTACCAATAGCATCAATACACTGACTGAGCACGAACAAACTTTTGTTGATGCTTGCAGATTCAATCATTCTCTCCTTGCCATTATCTGTTCTCCGGTTGTCCTCTGATCCTGCTAAATCGATTGCTGATGCAGTACTGATCAAGGTCGCATCGCCAGTAGTCTGTGTTACCTTGACCATCAAGATGGCATGGCTTCGACTACTTTGCGCATTGAGTTTGGTCCCTGCTGTGCTCCGGTTGTTGTTGGCTTCTATATATAACTTTTCGAAATCCTTGAGATCATTGCAAGACCTTTCCGAGAGCCCAACGACTATTGTCTTCCCATCCTTCTCTCGAAGTGGCAAGCCAGCAAGAGATCGCTTATCGGGAGACTCGAATAGGTCGAAGACTTTGTCGTTATATATTTCGTAGTAGGACAATGTAACAGTAACAGAGGTGTTCTCTCCAGAATCCTTCGCAACCTTACGCCCACGTCGATAAATTCCGCTCAATAATCGAGGAATAATCCCGCGGTCTGCCAACTTTGTTCCGCCACGCATTGTATGTGTTTTCCCCGTTCCAGTGACTCCATATGCAAAGAGTGTAACATCGAGTCCTTGGAACAGTGATTTCAGTGTGGGCGCAACCTCGTTCGTGAAAAGTTCCTCTTGGGTTGTTCCCATATCGTAGACGCCGTTGAATGTGAAACTAAATTCCTCCGACTCATTTTTAGGATTCGGTATCCGGACGACATTGGGTGTTTTGCTTTCTTGACTACTTTCGGCGCGCACGATGGTATCCTTATCCAATTCCTTTGGTAGAAGAGGACGTATTCTTGCAACGACTTGTTCAGAAGGTCAGCTTGGAATGAGACTCGATTGATTTCTGCAGAAAATACTAACCTCGTACAGACATGATCACAATCGAAGGATATCCAAGTAAAGAATATATATCAACAAACAGGAAAGAAGAAAGAATAGAATTAACGATTATGCAAGATAGTATCAAACAAGCAAAGAACTGTATTAACAGAATTAAGACCTTTGCCCGCTCCCTCAAGGAGTGTTCTATACCAATTCAAGTGAGCGTTGGTTGAGTTGATGTATTTCGAAACCCTAAAACCATGTCAAAGTTTTGGTTGATGTTGAAGCTCTACCCGCAAAAACGCAAACATCACGTTGCCCCAGCAACAAACGCTTCACCGAAACTCTGCCGCAGCAGGCAAGACAAATAAGTAACAGATGATTATAGGATAACCATACTGAAATACACAAGTTGATTGTAACTCAAGACAATTTAAGACATCATGATCCAAATCTAATAAGTAGGTGAGTAGGTATGCTTTCTTTTAGAGCGAGCCATCAATCTTTAGGAGCAGGTATGAATGCCCCCTCGGTTAACATCTGTTCAATCATGGACGGGAAATCAGCATCTAATTCACCTATGAATGGTTAGATTTGATATTTTTTGGTTGTTATATTTCTCAATAAATGAAGAATAACTGTTGGTACAGTCAACAGTATGGCATCGTGTAATCTTGGATTTCTCCATATTTATACCAACCTTTAATACCCTTCGTTTCAGCGGCCAGGGTTGAATATTTAAATCTCATTGATTAATTGAAGTCACAAGTCAACCACAAAACAACAAAACAAGTCACATCATTCTGGAAAGATACAATAAGATTTTAGCTTCTATTTATTCCAAAGTTTATAATTGAATAGGTCTCGTTCACATCTAAGCCTTAAATGATATATTGAGCTGTAAAGACTATTCAAAGGTACTTGTTTCGGCCATTGATTTCGCTTGCATAGAGAACGATCACTATCTACTTATTCTTATGTTATTGAACTGGTGTACTGGTATAATACAGTGCACTGTAGAAAAACATGCAATCAACATCTCTCATGTTCATAACATATCGTCTAGTCTCAAGTCCATTTCACAAACCCCGATTTCCAAAATAACTCTCTGAAATTTGAATCCACATCAAACCGCCAAGCTATCTTCGGCACTGACCTTCTTCACCTCTTATAGCTATGTTTCCAAAATGCCACCTAATTACCTGGTTAAAATCCCACATACGTTATATCAAATAGGATTTTCGGCGGCTTTTTTTAATTTTTCAGCCAGCCATTCCGGTTGGCTTATAAAAGGGCTATGGCCGACGTTTGCACGTTCGATCGTGCCGAAGCCTAACGTAGATCTGTGGTTAGTTTCTTGGGAGTGCTAGGGGAAATTGAATGATCGAAGAGTAGAATTATATCTGAGTATGTAGGAGCTTGCGCAGGGAGAAACAGGAATGATGAGGGGAATAGGACAGGAAGATGATACGTAGTTAGAGGAGTGTGACCCTGGGAAAAGATTTTGACTCTGCTGTCTGGAGCTCTACTATATGCCCTTCTTTTCATGATATAAGATTCATGGTTCTTATTATCACCACAAAGTAACAAAGTGGCCCAAGAGGAAGGAATAAAAAAGAAATAAGCAAAACTTACTCCCCTCAGCAATCTCCTGTGCTCCCCTAATCATCCCCAATTGCGCTTCCAAAGGAATCGCCTTATCTTCTTCACAAACAACATACGTACTCGGGATGTATCTCCACGGCTCCGTAGTCACCGGCGAATCAAAAGTCTTGTAACTGTGTTCCTTCAGCACCTCCACATATTTTTGTGCTTCATTTCTGGAGATATCGTTATAGAAGATTTCATAAGGATCTGAACAAGTGACAGCTCTGGAATCTGGGGAAATGGAAAACCAGGGAAGGGGACTATGATTCAGAGCACCCATTAAAGACACGGATTTGGGAAGGCAGAAGGCCGCGATGTAAACCAAACGGCGGATCAGGCCAGTACGAGAGAAGGGGGTGGTTGAGGGAGAGAGGGTGGCGATGTAGGTGTCTAAGGCCGACGAGCCGACTACTCCGCCGTAAGAGTGGTAAACAAGAATCAGGGGAGTGGACGTGGAGAGGAGAGAGTCGATTTTGTTCCTGAGGTGGGTTATTATGGTACGTTAGAAATCGAGAGAAAGTAATAAGGGATGGGAGTACACGAAGAGGAATTACCTGATTGTTTCGACATCTGGCTGAGAATCTTCGAGATGAGGAGATGCACCCACAGATTTTAGGGAAATGCCGTGAACTTTATAACCCTTCGCTGCAAGAATATCTGTGGTGGGTTTAAACTTTTGTGGCAGAAAATGTCAGACGGAAACGCCAAATAGGGTTGCATAAGGCGGAAGAGCTCCTTCAAATTATCGACAGAGCAGCTGCAACAGCTGCAATTTTGCATACCAACACGCAGATCATTGGACTGGTCTGAAAACAGGAGATCTTACGGATTCTGGGCTATGCCATGCTCCAGGCACGAAAACAAACTCTGGCTTCTTCGATGTATCTCCCATATTGACACTAAGGCGAAGTAGAGATAAAATCAGTACTTCCGAATATGAATGAATGAATGAAACGTGGAGAACAATGAGGTACTTTCAAACGACATTGCAGATCACTATTTATAATAACTCAAGGACCCTTGAAGTTAAAGGCTTATCTCTCCGGGACCCTATTTTCCACATCCAGCTTAACATATAACAATTGTCAACCTGATATGTTAATCATACCCAGATTGGTCTTAGCAAAAAGTATAATTGTACTGGAGAAACCCGCGGGCTCGAGGCGGGGTACTGAGCTTAACATCAACTCAGTGCGGTCAGACTTTTGGGCTTGCCCCTACACAGGCCATCTCATCCGAAATTGTTTGCACAAGAGATTTCGGGATTTGGTAGCTACAACATACGTAGGTAGGCAGATGATGGCCAGCATATTGCATTACAGGCTTATTATTTAGAAGAAGATAATTTTCATGATCTCATTAATAGTCATAATACATCCGATACATCCCATATGGTTATCCAACGCCCGCACAAAAACAACAACACACGACGATATTGCATCTCATCATGCTCGACCTGTGATGTAATCCTTATTTTCTATCGTCACGCTCTTCGTCATATGATTGACCTTGTATACTCCGACCAACCTACTCGCGAGTTCAAACATGTTGTTCCGCAGCGAGATAACGATGAATTGTGCGTTTTTTGTTCGTTCCTTGATGTAAGACGCTACGATGGAAACCTAAATATGTCAGCAACGTATACTCGATAAGGCAGTGGGATTGCACTTACATTCCTAAAATCAAGAGCAGCATCAATCTCGTCCATTACATATAAAGGTGTGGGTTTATAGTGATGCAAAGCAAACACCAGTGCCAAACTACTCAATGTCTTTTCACCCCCACTCAAATTGGAGATGTTTTTCCAGGATTTCTTTGGTGGCATCACACTGAACAAAATTCCCTCCGAGAAAGGATCCAGCGAGTCCACTAGTTCCAGCTCGGCATTCCCTCCCATGGTGATCATTTGGTACATCTCTTTAAGTCTAAGGGAGATTGTACTAAAACCTTCCATGAAGCCTTCGAGACGAAGGCGTCGTAAATCATCGCAGCGTTTCTTGGCTGTGTCTCTTTGAGTTACAGCACTTTGTAAGTCTTGGTTCCTTGCAGCATGTTCTTCAACTCTTCGACGATATTCTGCAAGAACACCTAGCTCGACATTGACACTCTGAGTTTTCTCTTCCAGAATTGCAATCTCTCCCTTCAATGCCTCCTTGCTCATATCGGCGAGTTCGTCTCTGGTAAAAGTAGGAAGTTCCTCTTGCTCAACTTCTTCGCCTAAGTCACTAACACTCTGAAGAGTAAGTTTACTCAACTTTTCTTGCCAATATCTAAGTCGCTTTTGATTTTCAGTCAATACTTTATGGTTTTCTTCAAGCTTGTTGCGCATTTCAATCTCAACTGCACGGGTCTCATTGAGTTCGGTAGTTTTCTCATCAAGGTCAGCTTTGAGAGCACTAAGCTCTTTTTTCTTCTCTCTCAAAGTCTTTTGGGCTTCATCAACTCGAGCTTGCGATCCTTCAGAGCTTGATCCTTGATTCTGAATCTCCTGCTCTAGTGCTTCTAGATCCGCAATAGAAGCCTGTATTTCTTTAGTAGCCTTAGCATGATCTTTCTCGTGTTTAAGGATTTGTTTTTCAGCCTTGGTTTTGGTCACTTCTGCTGTTGACATGGCCTGGCTGAGGGTATCGATCTCTTCTTTCAAAGAATCCACCATAGCACGCTGAGCACGAAGTTTCTCACCACCAACTTGCATAATTCTGTCCTGGAGAGCTTTGATTTCGTCCTCAACACTCGCTGTCTCCGCATGAAGTTTCTCGATTTCTTTTTGAAGCTTTGCGATGTCCTTCTTCAGTGCAGATACTCGACTATCATCTGTCTGAGATGGCTGATGCTCCTTGCTCAACTCTTTGATTCGTCTCTGTGCGTCTGCTAGGTTTCGCTCAGAACTGTCTACCTCTAGACCGAGTTTTTGCATTTTCGTATCGAGTTGCGGTATTTGATGATTTATATCTTTAAGTCTCGTCTCTAAGTCTCTTTGGCGATCCTGAAACTTCTGGAAAGTTTTTTCAAGCTCATCTCTATTTACTTCCAATTTTGAAACTTGCTCTTTTGAGACTTCGGCCACCAGCTTTGAAGACATCAATCCCTTCTTGACCGTGTTTCCACCACCAGACATAGTACCCGATTTGTCAATCAGTTGGCCATCCAAGGTCACGACACGCCATCTTTTAGCTCCGTAAGCGATGCGATTCGCTTGTGCTAAATCTTTAGCTACGAGTGTATTTTGTAATGAGTGGAAGAATGCTGGTCTAAACTTGTCATCTTTTGGCTTGATAAGATCAAAGAGACGAGGAACGTTTTCTGGTGTTTGGATGGGTGAGAGATCACGATTTCCTAATTTATCCAAACACATAAAGTTACCTCGTCCGAGATTAGTCTTTCGAAGATATTCGATACACTGCTGACCAGCCTCGACTGTATCCGTTACAAAATTATCAAGGGCTCCACAGGCAGTAGAAATTGCAATGTCGAATTGTTGGTCAATTGTGCCTAGATTTCCCAGTCGGCCATGGAAACCATCAATTCGCCCAGATTCCTTAAGTCTCATCAGACCAGTCAGGACGTTTCCTTGGGTTTGAGTGTTTGAAAGACTAGCACGAGCTTCGTCGGCTTTTTGGCGAGCCCCAGAAAGTTTAGCGCGAAATTCCGGCTCCTTCTGAGACAATTGCGTGAGTTCGGCTTGTAATCGAGCACCGTCCTTTTCCAGCTTCGCTCTTTGCCCTCTGCATTGCTCGAGCTCTTCGAGTTTAGCCTCCCTGCTTTCTTCTATGGCCTGCACCTTTGATTGAATTTCCCGAAGTGCTACATCACCGGCATTCGCCTTCTCGTCTAAGATTGCAAGCTCACTCTCCGCTACAGCAATAGCAGACTGTTTTTGATTGATCTTTTCATTCCAGGGTTCCAATGACTTCTGCTTGGCCGCGATTTGATCAGAGAATGCTTGGGTTTTACCTTTGAGACTATCCCTAATATTAGCGAGCTCCGACTCCTCTTCTGCCATTCTCTGTTCGGTTGCAGCTATCTCGGCAGCAGCTTCGTGAATTTCCTCTGCGCACTTCTCGATTGTGGCTTGAGCTTCAGAAATGGCAGAGTCGGATGTGTTAATTGTCTTTTCCAGCTTCTTCTGTTTCGTTGTCAAGAATTTCTTCTTTTCTTCAAGCTTTACTCGCTCTTGATCGAGGTTTGCCATTTCCTTGAGAATTGCTTGCGTGTACTTTTCGACCGATTCATACTCCTTTTGGCCTTTTTTGTACTCCTTTTCAAGCTGCTTAATACCTGCTTCGTTGCCCTGATGTTTTTCCATTTCCGCGTCTAGCTGTGTCTGCATTTGGCCAATAGCCTCTTCCGTGACGGCTATATTATCATCACACTCATTGATATAAACTTGGTACAATGCTGATTGCTTCATGGACAACTCATTTTCGTCCCTGATATAAGCAAGAGCCTTATCTTTCTTATCTTCAAGTGCATTTTTTTCCTTTTCAACATGCTGAACCCGCCCACTCTTCTCAACACACACTTCGTTCAGAGTCTCTACTTCGGTAGCAGATTCTTCGATGGGGGTCTTATATTTGGATGTGCCAATGATATCCTCCAGATACTCCAGAAGACCGTCATCATGCTCATTTGCAGCTTTTGGCTTCATTTGTGCAATTGACTCGACTTCACCTTGAAGGATCAAAAATCTCTTATGATCTAAATCGACGCCCCTATCACGAAGGAGTGTCGTGACAATGGTGAAATTTGACTCTTTTCCGTTGATATAATATTTACTTGCGTTATTTTTGAACGCCCTTCGAGATATGACCAAATCAGAATTGGGAACAATTTGGTGGGTGCCATCTGGCTGATCCATCACTTCTTGGAAATGTACAGCAACTTCACAATGATCCAAGTCCGGAAAAGCTGCTGAATTGTGAATCAATGCGGAAATTTTGCCTTGTCTCATTTTGCTAGCTCTGAAGCCGAACACAAAAAGAAGAGAATCAATGACGTTAGATTTTCCGGAGCCGTTGGGACCAACGACAGAAGAAAAAGAAGAGTGAAATGGGCCAACTTCCTGACGACCAGCATAACTCTTGAAGTTCGTAAGAATCAGGTAAGTGATAACTATTCGAGATTTTGGACCAGTATCCTCGACCACTGGAGCTGCTGCCGCAGTCCTTGATTTCAGCACAATATCCATGGGCTTTTCCATGATTGTATCCATTGCTCGAATGGGTTTGACAGCCGACGCTTGACTGTCCGATGTCCCAGGCCTCTCCGTGATATCTGCAAGAATTGTGCTATTGTGTATTTCGGATGGTTCAGGAGACTGCGAGGTATTTGGTGTTGGTAGAGTAGGATTTGACTCAGGTGCCACTGAGCTGCGTGCACTTCTGGTAGGTAGTACACTCTTTCTTTTCCGTGGGGCTGCCTTTTTTGTAGGTGACTCAGGCGCTGGGGTTGCTGTCTGGTCAGGATCGAAGATTTCCGAAGGTTCAGCATTCTCTGCTCCTAAACTCTTCTTTGCTCGACCGCCTGCGCGAGGTGTAGCTGCCATTGAATTCGCCGTCTTCCTCCTTGACTGGGGGGCTGTCCGGGTACTACGCTTCGGTGCGGGGGTGAACTCTTCCTCGTCATCTTCCTCTTCGACTTTTACTTCCATACTTTCATCCTCATCTGATGATTCTACTACCGCTTTCCGGCGAGAAGCGACCCTTCTCGAGGACCGCACTGGGGATTCTGACATGATGAGGTCCAGCAAATGTGTTGTTTTTTTCACTCGCGGGGAAAAAATTGGTTATTGCTGTGGATTAAGGAGCTATATTAAATCAGTAATGCATAATGAGTACCAAAAGGTCACAGAAAGTAAGATACCTGTTAGCAACGCGTCCTATATTCAATCAA